TCCCTTTGAAACCTCCTTAATGTTACTTTTTGCAGTTCTTTTACAATAGGTTGATTTTGAATCATCAATTCATCATTGTGTCGCTCTTCTTCGTTATTGTTTGACAAAAAAATTGGAGAAACACTTGATTTATTGTTAATGGCAAAAAGCAAGAGAACTTTCACTCTATCTTATTTAATTTCCACTTGTCGTGGAATTAAATTTCCACTAGTTTCACCATTCTCAATAAATCTTGCATTTTCAATTTCGACAATTCTCATATTATGATTAGGACAATAAAATATATACCTTTTTTACTTTTTTGAATAACCAATGAAGTATTCATTGATTGTTCTTGCATCCAGTTTCTTTTCTTGCATATTATAAACCTTTATCTTGCTTGACAACCCCAAACATGTAGCTGTCTTATACTAGGTATCTTACTAATCCACAGTTCAAAAGATGTATTTTGAACTGTCTTATTGGAACCTTGTTCAACAGGTACATGACAGTTTTTAAGACATACATCCACAAATAAATATGTAAAGAATAATTGCTTAGCATACTCCTAACCATATCTATTAATGTTCTATTACGCCTTTCTAATATACTATTTTGTTGTGGTATACCAGACATTGTGTACAAGGTTTCTGAAGGATTTTAACGAATGAACTTGGGTGTTTCCCAGTCTCATCATATTTCGTAATACTTGCCAACTCTATCAGACCTGATGACTTTCACCCTCTTGTCTAATTGTCTTTCCTTTCCTTTCAATAAAGACTTGGGTGAATAGTCATCAATCAAGATGATGAAGTAACTTTCCTTTCCGAAAGATGTAACATTAAAAGGCCCACAAATATCAGTATGCACAATTTCAAGGAGTTGACTGCTTCTTGTAGCCCCTTTCTTTGTGTGTTTTATTTGTTTTTCTTTTATACAATCCACACATATATTTAGGTAAAAAAATCTAGATTTGGAAGAATTTCATTCTTTATTAATCTTTTCCTCCTTTCTCTATAAATGTGACTCAAATGTTTATGCTACAAGAAAGCGGAACATTTATTCACTAAATTGAGTTTAGTGCCAACACTGTGATGCAAAGTTATAAGCGTTTCAACATACATACCATTCAAATTAAATTTATATAAACCATCACAAAGAATGTCAGTCTCAATGAGATTATTATGATTAAATAAATGAAAACATCCATTTCCAAAATTAAAAGAGAGTCCAGTGACATCAAGTTTAGATAACGAAACCAAATTCCTAGATAAGCTAGGTACATAAAGTGTTTCAAATAAATATAAATGATGTCTAGTGTCAAGGATTAAACGATAAATCATTACTGCTTCTACTAGAGCTTTCATTCGCTCTATTCTCTAGGAAGAAAAACTTTGAATTTGACCTTATGGTTTCGATCGTAAGGAATCCCAACATCATATTAGAAACATCAGTCATACATCCAAAATCAATCCACCATATATTACGTGGAACTTCAATTAGATTTGATTCAACACATACATAAGCATTAAACTTACCTTTTTTTTTTCGAATCAAGCCTTACATTTTAGGCAATCCTTCTGAAAATATCTAAATGCCTCGTTAATCTTTAGTGGGCCTCTACCTTTATCATGTTTCTTCACAAATTTCTTTTTATCTCCTTAATTCCCTTTGTGACTTACATAATGAACTGAGTTACTTTATTGATTCTTAAGCTTGTTTTATTCCTAAACCAACATAATGTATAATTCATGCACATTCTATTTATCTTTCTTGGTATTATAGCTCATTTGAAACATGTAACACTCAGACGGTAATGAGTTTAAAATAAACTATACTAGGAAGTTTTCATTCAATCATTTCTAATGTTATAAGTCTTGTTGCAATATTTATCATTTCAATGACATGCTTATGCATAATACATGATCCATCAAATTTCATGGTATTCAATGTACTCATTAATGTCCCAACAAGAGACTTATCAATTGTTTGAGAGCGTTCTGTCACTAATTTCATAAACTTTTTAGCACTTTCAGTTTTGTGGAGAATTGTCTTAATTTTATCATCTACGATCATTCTCAAGAACATTAAGCTGAGTCTGTTAGATTTTTTTCAAGCTTTATAATAGGTTTGTTGTTCATTATTGTTAAAGTCAGTATATAACAATTGACTTGTCTTCCAATATGGCAAGATCAAGATACATAACACCAATGTGAAATTGGACTTACTCATTCCAGTTAAAAAAGTTAAGTCCATTATAAAAACTGATACAAACGATATATGAGAATCCATTATGTTAGAAAGATATTATATAATAAAATTTGTTAGAAAGATATTATATAATAAAATTTGTACATAAGTGTTGAATCATAAACACATGTCGTTTTAATTTATCCTTTACGTGATATATCAACATACAACATATAAACATAATGATGTCTTAATAAAATTATAATATTAATAATAATTAAAATATACACTGATTATAAGAACAACTAATATTATTAGAAATACCTTATAATAATTAACTTCAATTAACTCATAACTTAATTATTCATATTTTAATATTATTAAAATAAATTTATCTTTAATTTGTAAGGTCGATTAGCTCCCAAAACTTATTATACACTTAATTTCAAATAAATAAATATCTTTTATTAGTATAAATGATATATAACATTTTTATTATTTTATTTTAAACATATATCATTCGGATAAGTATAAAATCACATTATATACAAATAAATAAATAAATTTCTAATAATATTTTATTTATTTATTTCATTAACTCACTAGAATTCATCATGTGTCCTTGTCTAAATCCAAGGAACATATGCAATGCTTCAATCACGATGCACACTATATGGCATTCATTCTTAATGCACAAATTCATTTACGCTCCAACAACGTATTCATTTACCTACCATAGCATATATATAGTGACGGATATTCATAGGAGGTAAAGGGACTATAGTTCCTTCAAAATTTTGTAATTCTTATATAATTTATGATTTTGGTCTTTCAATGATTATTTAATATATTTATTTGTATATTTACAATTTTATCGTATCATCACTCTTAACTCTTATATAATTTATGATTTTGTCCCTTCAAACTTAGTGATTATTTAATATATTTATTCATACATTTATAATTTTATCTTTTCATATTTTATCTTCTTTTATTTTTTTTATATTTATTAATAATATATTATTTGTTACTAAAATGAACTGAAAGTTCTGATTGTATGATGTACAATGATGCAGTCACAATGAACCTAAACTAAGGATACAAATATCAATTAAAGAATAGCATAATAATTGCACAGCATCAAAACATTTGGAGACAGAAGACCAGTATTTTCCAGCAAAATTCTCCCAACAAAATTATTGTTATTCATTAAATGAAAAGAAATATACAAACGTATAATATTCAAAGTAGAAATTATTTTTCTAAATCTTATAATTGGATTATATAAACAAAATCCATAACTTTTATTACTTAGGTTTACAAAAATTGGGAAAAAACATGATTTAAAGAGAAACCGTAAAAGTAGAATCTTTCAATTTTATAATAAAACTCTAATATATCCCCCATCAAATGAGTACCTTAACCACTATGCATATAATAATGTTTTTCTCTAAAAACGAAAAGTTTTCTAAAAATGCTAAAAAGTTAAGGAACTTTTTTGAAAATGAGAAAGTTAAAAACAAATACAAATATTGTAAATATAATATATATTAATATAAATCTTATGATAGTTAATTCTTTAATAAAGAATTATAGTTTAAAATATTTATTCAACATGTTTTCAATACGAGTGTTATTATTAGAAATGATAGATTAAATATTATATTTATTATATATTAATTAATTGACACTTTGAACTTAATTATAATATGTTTATGATTATCTATTATCTATAATTACATAATTATAATATAATTGTGGACCAATCATGAGTTCTTTATTATTTGTACCGCATGGAAGAGTCTATGTCACATTACTTAAATTAATTCCTCCTCTTAATTAGCCAATTTAAAGAAAAATTTAATGTTCATTATGTTATTTTAGTTATTTATATGTTTATTGAGTCAAATGAGAAAATATAACTTGAGAAAAAATAAATAAATAATAAAGGGTTAAATAATAAATAGGTAAAATAAAAGCAAATTATTATTTGATGAGAATATTATTTGACGGGAATAACGTATTTAAAAGGGGTTAATATTCACTTACCTAATATACTCTATCTAATTTTCCATTAAGAAATGAGAAAAAATAGAACGAGAAGTAAACAAACCAAAATCTTGATCTCAATTCTCATAAACGTAGTTGTTAGGAGAATGTCTTTCTCTTCAAACGTTAGGTGAGAATTACAAATTTCAAAATTCTATTTTATAGGTCTATACAAAAAAATTATGATTTTACAATATTAACTTCGCTTCGAAGTATTGTATATGAATTCTTTTGTTTTGTAGTTAAGCATTTTCTGGTAAAAGCTTTTCCCACTAAGTCAAAATCACAGGTAAAAGAAGGCTTTGGAGACAGGAAAATAGAGACAAGACACAAGGTTCGAATGTCAAACAGCAATTCTATCTTGAGATGCTCTTCAACCATGGATTGCAAGCTGCTATATTCTCTGTTACTACTCTTCATGATGGCCAAATGCTATCCTATCTGATTATTTATTCTTCCAACTCATGCTCCATTCATCAGATCAATATAATACATATGCATGCATGGCTCAATCGATGTCTTCTTTCTTTCTTGTTACCCCATGATATACATAAAGATTCCAACTATTTAGCAATCTAATTAGCTTCATTTCATATATTTTATATAGATCATGCCTCTGCGATTTGCAGATCCTCTTGTGAAGCAAATGGGTCTTATCTTCCCACAAAACTTTTAAGTGCCAAGATATGGAGGCCCCACGTAATAAAAGTCAACGACATATTTGCACAGCTTCTGTTTTGTGAAGTATAAAAAGGGGTTTGTGTGAACCCTCAAGGAATTAACTAGAAGAGATAAAGTTGATGAATAAACAATGAAGGGGTTGTTTGTTGACTCTCCCTCAAGGGCTTCTCCCTTGAAGCATCCAAAGGTCTAATATTGACCATTTGGGTCCAAGAAAGAGGCCAGAGGCCCCTGGGGAGGAGTAAGTAAACTGCCCCTTATGCATTCATAGCACAAGTTATAAGGACTTATGGCCTCACCTGCCTTATTGCTATGTTCTTGTTTCTCTCACCTTCAGAAATTGGTGTCAAAGTTGTTGACTTCATTTCCATGCCTTCCCTTTCTGAGACCAAGTTAAGATGCATTGATCAACAATGCTGCTTGCTTCAGTTCATGTCCATTTTGTCATGGTGACAGGTTTGGATACAAAAATGTTCAAAACTGATTTCAAGAGTTTTTTTTTATAAAAAAAAAACTTTATATTTTTAATTTAAAGTTTTGAATTTATTTATTTTTAACTTGTATCTGAAATTCATGTCCTATCTCATTTTTTTAGTTTTCTCCTTTACCTCCCATGGCGACTATATTTTCATTTTCACTTTATTCTGATTGAGTTAAAGTAAAGAAATAAAAAAAATGGAAAGATTAAAAAAAAAAACAGATAAATAATAAAATTGAAGGTTTTTAATTCTTTGATAAGGTGAAAATATATATGTGATATATAAAAAAGTTGACATATTTTTGTTTTGAAAAATTAAAAGAGATTTTCAAGTTAATTTATTTTGGTAACCATCTCATCTCTCAATTTGACATTTATTTTAATAGGTTTGTGTTTCAAAATTTCAGTTCAATATATTTTTAAGGACATATTTAAGTTATAATTCAAATCGTTGGAATTAGCTTAATATCCTATATTATTTTTTTTAACAATTTATTAACCTATATTTTAATAAGCATGAGATATTTTTTAAGGATAAAATATATTTTGCGTTTTTTTTATTTCAAATATATAAAATACGTCTCTAAAATATTTTTGTATGATTTTTCTTTATCTTTTTTTTTTTAAATTAGGCTATTGACTATAGACAGATAGAAAAAAATGTGGGGAATGTGAGTTTTATTATTAATATTATTTTAACTAGGTGTATAATTAATACTATATTAAAATAAGAATTTATGTATGTTACCAAAAACGACCTAAAAATAAAAAATATGTTTAAATTTAGAAAAATATATTTAAATTTTAGGAATCCAAAAGTAATACGAAGTTTTCGTCTTTAATATTTTAGAAATTTTACATGAACGCAAAACGTATATATTCTTGCCTTTAACTAAATACTTTTAAATATAAAATAAAAATTATTTTTTTATGTGTATTAAAATTTAGATCTAGATTTATATTAACAATTTAATTAAATAAAATATTATTTTTAACTATTAATACTTTAAAAAATATTGAAATTCTATTTGGAAATAAAGCTAAATAAAAAACGATATATTAAAAGAGATTAGTGGTCGAGAAAAATCTGTAAGAATGTTAAGAAAAACTCTTAAAAATTTCTCTTGTCAGGTATTGGTTAGATTTTGTTATTCATCGTTTTCCGAAACTCTTCTCAGCAAGCTTTCTCTCTTTTCCCAGTTTTGCTTTTTCATTTCTTGACTTCTTCTTCTTCGTCTTTTTTCATGCCTTTCAATTATTTTCCTCTGCAAATCAACTAATTATATAATATGCTTTCAACAGCTTTTTAATGTCTTGAAAACTCAAGAAAGATGGATATCATATACACATTTTCGAGGGAAGAAAATTAAATAAGATTATTATAGATAATAAAACTATCTTTATTGGTATTAAAATACAATTGTAGAGTTAAAACTCAAACTTTTCAAAATTATTAATTATTAAATATTTCATACAATAAGATAAGATTTATGGTAAAATAATCATTTTTTTTATTTCTTTTTAATTATTTTATTTTGTGTGACATCTTTCCTTAAATTTTAAGGTAAAAGAATCACTTTTCAATTTTTTTTTTGTCCTGTGACAATTTTTGCAAGTTTATTGGGTCAAAAACTTTTTTGTTAACGTTATGAGTAGGCTGTAGAATGTTTGGTATCACTTTATAAGTGTGCGAGAGGGAAGATGTAAAAGAAAGAAAAAAAAAATCCAGAGAGAAAAAGTGAAAGAGGTACAAAGCTAAATTAACGAGAATAGTTTTTTTTTAATAATTTATACGCTACAAAAGTGAAGTAAAGTAAAAGAAATCTAGATATTGCTAAAATAAGCTTATGCAGTTAGCTTATATTTTAAGTACTCATAATCAATTCAATATGTATTATTAATAATACAAAACAAGATTGTAAAGTGAGATTTCTATCTATTTTGTCATATCTTTAATCCTGTGTAATTTCAATATATTAATATGTTGGTTGACATTTATATAATAATTATTATATGGAGTTGTATAATCATCTTTAACATTACTAAGTTTACGTAAAACATACACAAGTAATTGAAAATTTGAGTGAGAGAATATTTGAGTGTTGAATGCAAGAAAGTAAGAGGCTAGGTCTATATTGTCCCCCTTGTGGCTTGTACTTGCCAGGATACAAGGAAGACTAGGTCATAGAGAAAGTAACTCCTTTTTGGTGGGAAGGGGTTACAGGGGGCATTTTGTGAGAAAGCTACCACTGTTCATGTAAGGGGCCCCTACAGAGACTCGTGCGTGTATGTATGCTACCACCATGGAAAGATCAAGGACCTGCTTAAACTCTTGTTGTTTGTCTTTCATATTGAACGGTCAGAATAAAAATTGCATAGCTTGTGATGCATGCATGTGAATGATCTAACCCTTCACCAGCCTTTCTTCTGAACTTTGCTGAAAATAGGAATCAAATTATGACACTAGGTCGTACTCTTTTTGTTACCATAACTAGCTACCATTAGCCCTATTGGTTCAAACTTGGAAATTTGCATTTGTACTTTTCATGCTACACTCCTCGCAATTATCAATGGATTAGCGCTTTCTTTATTTCAAATATCCAATTCAAAATCTTAAGGAAAAAATAGGTTCTTTATAGTTAATATTACTCAAGTAGTTTTTATTCTGTATGTTTTTTCTACTCACACTTGTGATTAGATGCTAAAACCTGCAATTAGTTGTTTCTGCGTGTGTCTAATACGATATGATATGACTGTGATCTGATATGTGTTGATTTGTATCAAGAGAACTGGTGTGTCCTTATCATTATTCAAATGAAATCTATATGTGCACGAGAGTTTTTTATTTTATAAGTAAGAGACTTTATTTGCTGCAGCATGACACTGAACATTCAAATTAACTTTATTACAATCGTTGTTTCGTTTGAGTACCTTCCAGAATATATTTGTGCACTGGAAGGGTCATTATATTGTCTTAACTTAGAATATAAGAAAGTTCAAACCCACCTCCTCCAAAATGCATATTTTTTTCGTGGTGGTGTTCAACAGATTGGAAGAAAGAAAACTACACAATTTGTCTAAATGGGTTTTCCGGTGAGATATCCATCATTTATTTTTCTTGACTGAGGTGTGTTATAAGAGAGATGTACGTATATAGAGTATTCTGGCATAGATGATAATCACAAACTTATGTGCGTCATTGTGCTAACATAATTTGAAAAACACAAAACATGCACATGATAATCAACACAGATCTACCTTGGTTAATTTTCCCTAACACATTATACCTAAATTGCCTGGAGAGATCACATCTTCGTAGCAAATTACACGAATGAGAAACTTTCAAGAGATAGGTGAGAAGTTAATTAAACAAAACCATGGAATGTTTTTCTCCTCAAAACACTGATATATATACACTAGACTGGCACTTCATTTTTCTCCACAACCCTCACTCCTTTTGCAGATCTGAGCACATTGGCCTGTTTGAAAATGATTGCAAATTAACACACGAAGGGAATGTTTTTGAAAGAAAACTTGAGAGGCTTTAGTTATATACATATATATTACCTGATCCCGGGTAATTTCCACTGCAAAACCATCAACAATGACCAAAGAAGATGTCTTCTTGTAGCTTCCTGGCTCTAGAGTACTTGCTAAGAGCTCATCATGCTTTCTACTAAGGTACAAATCAAGTTCGTGTGCTCCTCTCTTGGTTCTAGCAGCAAGAACAAAAGCATAAACTAAAATGAGTATACATAATCTTACTACTATAATAAAAGAAAGGAGAAGAAGTAGTGAGAGCAGACCGATCAGCTCGAAGTCTCTCGTATTCAGGATCATAACTCATGAAGACAAAGTAGGATTCGACATTTGTGCTCCCCATTAAGAATGTCTCTTTTTTCTTCCTTGATAATTTGGTTGGAGGTTATATTAGAGCAGTGGCAGTTTTCTGCTCCACTAGCTACCTATTTATACAACAGAAGGGTGAATCTGAGTCACTTTCCAAACAGAAACAAATAGAGAAAAAAAAAAGCGAACGAGGAGGCCCACGTTGGATTCAATTTTACGTACACCGCCATTTGAACCGACTATTTGAAATTTATATATTCATTTGTAATAGAAAAAGCAAAGATTCTGATTTGGGTGTTGCGCCCAATAGCAATTACGTTACTTCTTAATTGCAATCTATGAAGCACCATCATGTTCACACTTAGGGATGGCAAAACGGGTCAGCCTGCCGTTATGCCTGCCTCGCCTTTGGCCCGCTAAAACGGGGTGAGGCGGCTACCGATATAGTCATGATGAGTATAGACTTTGCATCCGCTCACGCAGGCTGGGTTATGGCTATGCAGTGCCACGCCATAATTTAAAAAAATAATTTTTTTTAATAAATTTAATAATAAGATTATTATTTTTTGTCAATAATTCTATATATATATATATATATATATATATTATTTCAATTTAATAATATAAATCAATATATTATTTTAAGAAATTATAATTTAGAACAATAATAAAATTTACATAATAATAAATAATAACAAATATATATATATAAATAACGTTAAACTTATAAAATTTATATTTTTTATATTAAAAAATTCAAATACCTATATCTTTTTTATTTGATAAAACTTCATATTATACTTGGTTGAGTAATTCTTATACCTTTAATTCAAGTAATAAGGATAAATATAATCAAGACTTTTAGGATAAATAAGGAGAACATGAGAGAATGTTATATTTCGTGAAGGAGAATATTTTCTATGAGAATGTAAACTTTTTTAATTCTCTTTTTAAAAATTTTAACTTTATATATTATCTTTATAATTAATTTTATTACAATAAAAAATTATTTTTTTATTAATTAGGCGGGCCGTGGCTGGCTCCGCCTCGTCCCATGGGTTGGCTCGACGGGTTGGCGAGCTGGCGGGCGGCTAAAGCGGGCTGGTGGGCTGAAAACACCAACCCGCCCCGCCATATTATAGCGGAGCCCGCCGGGCCTAGCCCGTTTTGCCATCCCTATTCACACTGGTCGTGATCTTGTACATGTACAGGGTATTAGTACAGGTCAAACAAACAAAAAATCTCTCACGCGTTTCTGCATGAAAAGTCAAAACTTTAGCATTTATTTTATTAACACCAGCCACATCTAAGCATGATTCACTGCAACCATAGTTGATGTCTACTACACAACTGACAGCAACTAACTCTCTTTCTCGTATCAAAACAAAACACATGAATCGACCCCAAAAGTTTATTTATCCTTAAACCGTGATTATGATTAGGTATTAATTGTATTCGTATATATAATTTTATCAGTGATTGATAGTCACTGATCACGCTGATCATACGTAGCAGCAGCAGCAGCAATAGCAGATTGAGGAGTGTGTCTGTGTTTTTCTTCCTTGCATTCCGCCAATCTGAAGCCCAAAAACAAAAGCCCATATTACACTTATTTCTCCCTTCGTCATGGCCCGTTTCAGCGGCCTTATTATCTGGTTGTGGAGTTATTTCTTTGATTTTCATTTGTTTGTCTTAGATTAGTTGGGCCACATGTTTGTGTCGGTGCCTATTAACTCAATTTTAGTTGTGTACCACAATGTCTTGCAACATAAATAGATTTAGCAAAATCAAATAAAAGATCTAAGTTCGTGTCAACATCCAGTCCCATACTAACATGTCAACTCGTGATATTTGAATAAAAAAGGGAAAAATATAAAATTGGTTATCAATCCTTATAACCATTTAAAGTCTCAACCAAAAATATCAAACATTCTTTAATGTTAAAAAAATACAAGAACCAAATGTGAAAGCCGTTAAAACTAATACAATAATATCTCACGATATGCAAAAAAAAAATAATTAAAAAATCCCCACAAGTGAATAAGTGGCATGAGAGAGTTAGGTCCAATTGTATCAGTGCAAACACGGAGCACGTGCACAGCGAGGAAGTGAGGTCGCATGAGAACCCAACCATCACGTGGCGGGTCCCACCCCGCGTTGGAAGCAGCGCACCACCACTCACGTGACATCACCATCACCCAAATGCCTCTCCCTCATTGCCCCACCTTTATCATGTCCCCTAAAATCGCGGCCACCAATTCACAGTTGATCGCGATCACACACGCCTCCATCTGCCCCACCTTTTAACGTTAATTGCGGATCAACGGACGGCTACGATTTCCCAACAAAACATTCACCGTGAGACATTCTTATCGTATTCCACTCTCCTCTTGTTCCTTATTTTCTCCTACAAACACTAATCTAATCTAAACAAATCACCACTTTAATCCAACCATTCCAATTGTAATATGATACAATTTTGTTTGTACACTCTTAATAATCCACTTTGTTTTCTGAGTAGATAACATGTAAACACTTTCATTCATAGATATATTTTCATCTTTTGAAGAAGTAAAAGCCTATGATAGACCCAAAATAAGTAAGAACAATTAATCCATACCCAAGTGGAGTTTTGATGAATTTGAAATTTTGTAGGGTTGCTTCCAGAGTGCATTAGTACATTAATTAAAAAATTGATTACAATTACTTCTGACAGAACACGTGTTGCATTTGGTGTAGCCCATCACTTCTTATGATTCAATTATCCATATTTATTTGAATTGTTGATGAACCTATTAGAAATAAATAATTAGCTTTTTGACTTTTTCTTACAATAATTTAAATTTAAATTCAAACTTTTTTTTACAATAACAGACAGTTAAAAAACAAATTCTCCAAATTACAAAAATTAACTTTTATATATAAATAGATAGATTGATTCACAAACATTTTTCTTTTCTTAAACCAATTTTTCTTTTTTTTTAAAAAAGCTAAAATGTAGTATTTTCAACTATCCCAAATATGTTAAGATTCCATTTTTTTTTTTTTTACCTATTTAAAACCATATAACAGTCTATGTATTTATGGACAAAAGTGGCATAAAGAAAATAAGGAGAATTTTGACTTCTTCTACTAGTCATATTTACAACTTTGGACACTTCCTCCATAACCTCACATCTTGGACATGTTTACCCTTAGATCTACCACCATCGTATGAAGTTATTGTCAACAGTGGTGATAATTTTTATTTTATTTTATTTTATTTTTGTCGTCTCTTTTAAATTGTAGATTCATTTATATATATATAATTAGATTAGTATACAAAACATCTTATTGATATTGTTGGTGATTTCATCAGCATAATTGAGATAGCACAATGAGATAAAATTTTGAAAAGTATGCAATAAATCTCCAATACATGCAAATAATAATAAAAAAAAGTATAATATATTATTAATATATTGGAGGTTGAGAGATAAAAAAGAGAAGATAAAGCCAAAGATTGATTACGGTTAGTGGGGGACCTTTGGACGTTAGGATTTTGGTGTCGGCTTTTGCAGATTCAGTTTCCTACTGCATTCATTTTTTTTCCATAATAATACCTTCTTTTTACCCACTTCTTTATTGCCTCATAATTTTCTTAAACTTCACTCCTCTCTATAATAATAAATTATATATAGAGAGAATATATATGAAAATGTTTATAAAAAAAAAAAAACTCTTATTTAAATACACTGGCTACATAAACTAGAAAGTTAAATGAAGTAGCGAGTCCAGTGAAGCCCATAAATCCGAAGAGGCATGTTTCTGTTTTGGGCCCAAACGTTAATGATGGACAGTAACAAATGCATCTTAAGTTTTATTTTGCAACGAATGTTAGCTCCGAAGGTTACTAATAAAACCTTGTTCCGGTTTACCTACCTCTCCCTTAACCCATTCTTGTTCCTCGTGGCCACCAAACAAGGGGTAAAAATTTTTATTATTTTTTTTTCTTTTTAATCTGAACTATATAATTTAAAATATTATATCTTGTTTATGTAAAAAAAATATATATATTGTTTTTAAATTATAATAAATGAATCATTTACCCAATGGGAAAAATTGTATTTAAATTAAAAATCCACTAAGCATCCACTGTCCATTTACGTTAACAAAAGTTCAAAGTCAAAGTGGGATTTGCTTTGATGAGTGTTTCATTCGCTCCAATTAATTTATAAGATATTCTTTCGTCTTAAAAGAGTCATGAGAGAGGAAATATTTTGATTAGGTCATCTTGAAAGTAGTTTGTTTTTCTCTTCACAAGGAAAGAAAAAACATATTTTTATGATTTAAAATTTGAAAACATCGTGTAATATTTTCTGTCCCTCCCCAAACACTTTTCTTAATGTAATGTGACATCAAATTACGTTGTTTCCAATACAACCGAATTCAAAAAGGACCCATATTTCAACTAAGCACTATGATTAAGGAAATAATCATAAATCATACTAAAAAACAATCTGAGAAACGACACAGTAACTTATCATCACTTACAATTATAGAATAATGGAGGGAAGATTATGCACGTAACTGTTGCTAACTGGTCCACCATTGAGACCCAAAAAGTATTAATAAAATAAAAGTAAATTCCATTTAAGAGGTTGAAGCATGCACGCATGCTTTTCTGATACCACAAGGCCCAAACAGACAAACATGTATATTTATTCTTCCACCAATGTTACCCAAGACATCAAATTTTAACTCAATCAAAATTCAATATATATTTTGGAAGTGTAACATTTCTACACACACTATATACTTTCTAATATTTCTCAAAATATACATTTAAACTCTAAATATTCATTGAAATTGCTTAATAAACTTTCTTTCCCACACATACAAACTTAAAACACATCATTATCAAACAAAATTTTAGTATTTATACTTAATATTTAAGACATATTTTAAAAAATTGGTAGAAGAATAAAATTAAATATTTTATTATCAATATCATAAATAAATTATTTAAAAATTAATTAAAATTATTTATATATATAACTTTCTTTTAATTTTAAATCACTGTTTACAATAAAAAATTATTTTTATTCATAAGTAACTCTCATTTTTAAGTAAAAACAATCCATATGAAAACATGGGTCTCATCTTCCCTTTGAAAAAAAACTCGTTGGATTAGTGATAATAACATCACCAATTGGATTATTTTATGACTTAACAAACTTGAAAATTTTAATTATAGAAATTAAAAAAAAAACATAAGCTTCAAATATGATGTATTAATGTACATAAAAAGGAATTTTGTATAATAATTAAAAAAAAAAGAGAAAATAAGGAGAAAATGGATTAATGATAGAACTTTATTTTTATACCTCACATAATACTTTAAAAAATATTGGAGAAATTAATAAAGAAGGTTACTTCATTGTTTGGAAGGTGAGGGGATAAATGGGCCCCTTGTCCCCATAAAAGTTCTCAACTTCTATAATTGTTGTCTCGATATCGATTGTAGATCTTGTTGGGGCCTCTTCTTTTACAACTTTTTTTCTTTTTTTAATATCTTTAACGGGTCCAAAGAATTTATATATTTCACACCCTCTTTATAATTTAATTAGAAAAATAAAATTATTTTAATTTTAGTTAGATGACAAGGCAATCCATTCATCTCATTCCATTAATTACAAAAACTGTAAAAAATTAAATTAAGTTAAGATCCAAAATAATTGTTAATATGGGTGAACTGCATTTGACTCAAGATCAATTTTTGAATGATAAAAATAAATTGGTTGGCTTTTTTATTTAATATTACCTATTATTGTTATTCGAAATAGAATTGATTCATTCATGCATATTATTATCATCTTATTAATACATTAAGTAGAAGAATTGTAAAATAATAGTTTTAGTATATTATTTATGGGTTTTATCCTCTTGAAATAAAAAATAAACAATAGACAATTATTTATTTATTTATTATCATAATAAATTTAAAAAATATGAAATATTATTATTTTCTATTTTTTATTAATTACTTAGCTATTTTAATATTTTATGATACTCTATTTTGATGTTAAAAAATATGAAAAAATATAGGGTGAGTTTTAAAGATGTTAAAAAGAAAATTATAAATGTTTTTTTAAAGATAAAATAGATGATAAATTAAAAAAATAAATTTTAATTTCTAAAATTTAAATTTAATTAATATATGATTTTAAATATTTTATATAATATATTATTTTTTATATTATTATTCATAGGTATATGTTTACCTTCTCATCTAAATCACTTTACGGAGGAAAATTTAACATTGGTTCCATTAAATTATATAACGATTATTATTACACCTTTTATAATCTTCAGAAATCACATTGCTGACAATCAAAGGGTGTTATCATATCATCTTCTACAAGCCAATGAAATTCTAAAAAAAGTTTTTTTATTTTTGTTCCTCATGAAATGGATTGCATCACGATTCATTTGAAGTTATCGATAAATATTTATTTTTACACAATTCTTTTATAAATTTCACAATTCAGGAGTACATTTGATTTTGGATTGTGTGTTTAATTCTAAATGCGTTGGCAAGTTTTACTAAGTAGAGTTTTGTCGATGTATTATGTGTACATTTGAGTTGTACATGAAGAAATATTTATTTAGTGAGAACAACTTATTTCAATTTAAAATGTATTAAACTAGATTCAAGAAAAATATAATAGGTACATAAAATGTTTCATTTTCATAATATTTTTTTATATTTTTGTTTTTTAAAATCTCAATACAAAACTAAAAATATGACATTAAATGGTTAAAACAGTTTTAAATCATCAAATGATAAAAAATAATATTTTTTAAAAATTTACAAAGAAAGTTTTATTTTATTGACTCTAATTTTTTTACCAGTTCACCTTCATTAGTAATTTCTTAACATTTTAATAACAAATTATACATTTATATTCAAGACATATTTTAAAATATATTTTAAAAAAATAATATAAATATAATATCATTGTACCAAAATTTTATAATTAAGATTAATTTTTTACTACTAACACATATTTGAGAAACAAATTTAATATATGAATATATTTTGTTTATAAATGAATTTACATGATTTAATTATTGATCATAATGACTCAGTAAAATCGCATATTTTATGATTTTTTTTATTGTTTTCAGTTGGTTTGGTTGTTAGTCACACTGATAAAAGTTTTGTTTTTAATAAGATTGTCTCCGGTTGTCTTTTTTAGTGAAGAACGATGGAGAAAATAGATTGATATTTGACAATAATTATATGAACAAATTTTGAGATTTGACAATAGTGTAGGTAACCTAGATTTTCAAAAAATATATATTGATTTCCTAGGTTAATTTAATCAAATGACAAGTACATCTTATTTTATATATATAGATTGAGATTGACCTAAAAGATTTAAGCTATTCTATCCTTTAAGTTAGTGAAATATTTTCATATATATATTTTATACTTTAGAATGTAATTTTTATAATAAATCTTAGATTTTAAAGTGATTTCTTTTTGAGAAATGTTTTTTTTTTCAATCATTTTAAAGGTTATTTGTGTTATCAATGTAGATGATATTTCATGTGATTTGAGCATACATGGTTCATGTGATCAAATAGATTATCATCACATTTTATCTTTCTCAAGCATCATAAAAAAATGTGTATTTTGATCAAATTGAACCATATTTCCATTTACAAACTTAACCTTATTTCTAAAGAGTAAGACATCTTTCATGTTTCTATTATAATTATGATATTTAGTTATGAATTGATCATAATTATTTTAGATTTTTCTTCCTTATAAAGATAATACAAATTGATAAGATTATGATAATTCTAAATAATATTGTTTGTTTAATTGGTAACAACTCCATTTTTTAAAATGAAATTAAAAAGAAAATATGAACTATTGTAAAAAAGAATTAAAAAAATAATAAATAATATAAATAATTCTGGTACAGTATTAAACAATAATTTGTAAGAATATAAGAAAATAAGTCCATGTCATATTATATGATAATGTTTATTTTTTCTATTAAAAAAATATCGTGTTTATGTCGTAACACAAATCTTTTTTTTATAATATATTACATAATAATTAAATATCTTATTTTTTAATAATAAAATTTTATTATTATTTATTATCGATTTAATTTAATTTTTTATCATTTTTTTATTTTAATTATGAATTTTTATATATTTATTATGATGTATTTTAATTTAAATGACCACAACCAAAAGAATGTAAGAGAGAGCAACAGAAGTAAAACATGCATCCTTTAATTGATACGTAAAATATTTATATATACAAAAACGGAAAAAAGAAAAGAAGGCTAATAAAAAAAAATAATTATATTGATTAAGTAACAGTATACATAAGAATAGAAAACATGGATATCGTAACAAAAATCTCAATACAACCCTCAAAATATGACATTAAAGTGATTATTATTTTTTTTAATTTACAAAGATTTTTTTTACCAATTTACTTTTTTGACCATTTATTTTAATTAAAAAAATAAACAGTTACATTTAAGATATATTTTAAAATATATTTAAAAACAAATAATATAAATATAATATCATCTTACCAAAATGTGTCATAGTTAATTTTTGTAATAACTAACACACATATTTGAGAAACAAATTTATATTATTTAATAAATTTAATATATATTTTATATGATTATTTAGTTTATATTATATATATATATATATATATATATATATATATATATATATATATATATATATATATTCAATTATTGATCATCAGACCGACTAATGACTCAATGAAGTGGTATATTCCACGAGTGGATCGATCACAAATAAGCTTTGAGGCAATAATTATAATAGTTGTCGTTCAAAAAACAGGTAATGAGACAGAGTACCAACGACTACACAAATTGGTTCAAGTATTATTTTTTTAATTATTATATTTTTTTCTCAACAGTTACAATAATTACAAATAGTATTTCTTTTATGGTTTTTATAATTTTTTCACATTATTAAATAAGTGAAAAATAAGTGAAAAATAATAAAAATTTAAAAAATCGATTAAAAATTCGTGAACCTTCAAAATAATTTAACTTTTTTTTTTTATGTAAGTGTTTTTTTCAAAGTGATTTTGGGTAGGTAAAATAAAGCTAGTTTTCTATACGTGGCACATTTACTTTACATTACACCTATATATGTAGATGCACCTACTCTTCCATGAACTCAGAGCTCTTTGTATGCTAGCTTATAGAAGCAGCTCAACTCTCTTCTGCACCACATTTTCCTCTGCACTTGCCAACTAATCCCTCGTCATGTCTGTTAATGTTGTCTTTAAGTTGGAAACTACAACCATTAAGAAGACTTGATTCAGTGCACGATGATTCAAAACTTTTAGTTATGATCATAAAATTATATATAGTAGCTCGTGCAATCATTATGTTAACAACCCAGAAAATTCTGGCTACCCTCCATTCATAATTTCATACACATCACTAAAACAATATTCATATGGGAATCGAATCCTAATACATTAGTTAAGTTGTCACTCACATCCTGCACGTGTCACACTATTACAATGTAAGTGTGTTTGAAATACATACGCTGAATGTAATAAATAGCAAACAAAACATGTTTCTGTTCTATCCAAATATTAACCTTCGGATATCTGAATTTGAATATAATGTTTTACAGTTATTCTCATTTTTTTTTCTAGAAACATATTCCAATATCCTGTCAGAAAGGAATTCGAAGTGCAATGTTAACGCATTAGGTTTTGCACCTTGATATTTTGACTTTTGATTATCTCTAATCTCCATGAGATTCCAATGCAGTAGAATAAGTCAGTGTAAAACAGCTTTGGTACGTGGAAGGCAAGGCAACTATACTTAAAAGGAAAAAAAAGGGTAAGTGCCAAAATTTCCAAAAGGTGACCTAACCCACTGAACAAAAGGCAAGGAATGAAAATACTCCAAGACTTAATTTGGGGACACAATGTTAGGGTATGAAGCAACAGTGAAATTTCCACTATCAAACACAAGGAACAATATCTTAGGAACTCACTGAGTACTATGTATGAAGCTTTAAAGTTTAAAGTTGTTTCAAATTTGTTCTTTTTTTGGTTTTACTGACTGTACTAATGCAAGCAACGTGGAGCAGACGATGCGTATGTTCTTGTTATGATAACTATTTCATTTCTAAAGAAGTAACAAAAGGAAGTGGTTATTGTTTTTGAAAACCAGTTGAATGTTACCCATCTCCATATATTCACCAGATTGGAAAAGAAAGTTGTACGGAATCAACAGTAACCGCACTATTTTAACTAACAGTAATACCTACATCAAATAAAAAAATGAACTTGTGGTAAAAAATATATTTTATTTTTCACCTTTTTCCATTCTCATCAACTATCTTATTTGTAAATGGAAACAGAAGTATCTCATTTGCCTCTTTGACTTCCCTATGACGTGTCCAATTCATTTCTCTCTCTCTCTCTCTCTCTCCGTTTTTCTACGTTAATTCAAATTTTGAGAAAGCAATTAAAGAAAGCGAGGAAAAAGTTGATGGAGAGAGAATGAGTGTGTGAAAGAGAGATTTTATCTCATTTTCGGCGGAAGCCGTTGATTGCGGTTGGGAATAAAGCCTTCTGACATTGGGACAACACTTTTTTCTTCTTTTTGTTTTGACCATAACACTTTGTTTTCTTTCTGCTTTTAATTTGTAAATCAAATTACAAATAACAACTTCCATTAAAATATCAAACCATGCATTAATCAAGGAAAATAACCTTGGTGCCTACTGATTCAACTGATCTCCAAAGAGTGCATTTCTCCTTCAAAACACTGCACTTTAAATAATAACGTCAAAACATATAATTATTATTGAATTTTCTTAGCGTATGTTAATTTGGGATTCTGTCGGTGGGAATTTCAGATACGAAAAATAAATAGCCATAAGTGTCTATTGTCGGGTTGTCGGGCATCTGAATCCTGGGTACAGGTCCATCCTCTGTTAAGAAACCATATGAACACTGATGAAGCTTCTTCACTATTGCCTTGCGTATCATTAATTTCCTTCACGGTTCGTTTGGTTGTACTACAACGCAACAACTACTTTGCCATGCCATGCTTTGCTACTACTAACTACCATCTCTTCTTCTCTCTCATTAACTTTACATCTTCCAATGCAATATGAGATTTTGGAAGTGGAAAAAACATAAGGGATTTAATTAAGAACAAGGAAAAGAAAAGTTTTTTCTTTGATGGTTTCGTATTAAATTAATGAGGGGAGAAACAATTAAGAAAGGGACTAATGAATAATTAAATGGTTTAGGGTCTAGACTACGCCACGTAAATTACGGAAGGGTTGTTTTTCCACGCATGGAAGAAGGACAATCAAATGGAAGGAACATGGGTTTTCCATTGAAACCAAACTTTGCAGGCTGGGAAATGAGAATCGTTACCAGTCAAACATTGTTGAAACTTTTGCAGTAACTAAACCAATCGCCACCCCCCACGCAACTTGTAGGTCATGTGCCTCTTGCTGTAGACCGTATCAAACAGAGTTTTGGGTTTTTAACTATAACTATTATTATAACTATAACCCTTCTTCACAATTTGATTAAACCCTCGTATACACTTACACGTGTTGATATGGTTTTATAATTGTCGTTGTGATTTATAATTTCTTTTGCTGGATTCAAAATGTTTGTGGGTGCTCGATTGTTAGGTTATTAGCAAGTATTATTGTGTACTATGAGAGACATGTGGTGTGAACATGGGATATGATATGATATGACTTTGAAATAGACTTCCTCTAATCACTCTAATTTTTTCGCCATAAAACAATTCTTTCAAGTAAGGTGTTTCATTATTGCTTGCCGGTATTTTAATAAAAAAAAATTTAGGTAAATAATTTAACCAAGAAGATTATCTTAAAAATTTGACAAACTCCACAAGGAAAAAAGATGATGCCAGAGTCACAATTCATCACGTACCATTCTAGCCCAATCTAACAAACTCCCTTTCCCTAGTCAAACCATTATCTCTCTTGTAAAGTTTCACGTGTTGACATGTTTTTTTATATTATAGTGGTTGTAATTTCTACCAAAACACAAGTAAAATTACTACTTATTTGTTTGTAGGGTTGAGAATGCCGGTGCTCAATTGCTAAGTTAATACAAGTATTATTGTGTGTACTTTGAGACCTGTGGTGTGAATATGTGATGTGACTTGAAATAGACCACCTTCAATCACTCTAATGTTTTCCCGTAAAACATTTCTTCTAAGAAAAGTGTTTAATTATACCTAACCAGTATTTTAATTGCGAAACGAATACTAAATTACATCTAGGTTTTATTGAATTACAATAAAATTATAATTCTTTAAAATCATACAACATGTTTGTTTTTTTTTGTACAAAACAACATTATAACTTTTATCTTTCAGTTACGTAGGTAAAAATGTAAAGGTACACCAATTATTCTTAATAAGTCAAAACGTTTTCTATTTTTCATCCATATTTTATAGATGGCTGTAATTTTATTTGAAGCACATACTTTTAAACCTCACCGACCTCCATTCTGTAAGCCCACATGCCATTGTCCCATTCTCATTTCTAATCACATCAGGAAGGTCTGCATTGCAATTTGCAGCCACTCCAAAATCCAAAAATCAGAATAAAAATAATAACTTTAAACCAAATAGTAACTAAATTACACTTATTTTTTTATTGAATCACTGTCAATTTCTGGGTTCTTGATACCTTCCTTTTTCCCTCCCCTCCATAATATATAGACCCTCCACCTCCCCACTTTCCAATCCCGGAACTCCCTCTCCTCCTCTTTACTTGAAACTTCTTTCTTTTCCCAAGGATTCCCTCCTAACTTGGTGGGATTATCCGAAGTTTCAGTTGCTTCCACTCACCCACATTGCCATTTCCTGTGTCACTCCCCACATGGAAAAGCTTCTCTGCATGTCCCCTTTCCTTCTTCTCCTTCTTCTGTCCCCTACTTTTGCCTTTGCTGGCCATGATTATGGTCAAGCTCTCAGCAAGAGCCTTCTTTTCTTTGAAGCTCAGAGATCTGGCTTCCTTCCCCACAATCAGAGAGTCACATGGAGAGCACATTCTGGTTTGCAAGACGGCAAAGCTAGCGGGGTAACTTTAATTTACACACACACAAAAAACACTAAAGTCGTTTCATCTTGGTCTTCATTTTTTTCTTGAAAGTTCCGGTTTTTATTGTTTTTTCAATTGTTGGTGCGAAATTGCAGGTGGATCTTGTTGGAGGGTACTACGATGCCGGGGACAATGTGAAGTTCGGGTTACCCATGGCGTTTACCGTTACGATGATTTCGTGGAGCATCATTGAATACGGCAAACAAATGGCTGCTAGCGGTGAGCTTGGTCACGCCATGGAAGCAGTTAAGTGGGGCACGGACTACTTCATCAAAGCACACCCTCAGGCCAACGTTCTCTACGGAGAGGTATTCTTTATTTTTTTTCTTATTTATCCTATTTGTCAAGTTACATTTTTTATTTAAAAAATGTTTCATTAGGAGTTGAATTTGATGTTACATCGTGGAATAATAGCTTTACTATGATTTAATTTGACGAGATTATGATAAAAAAATGTTGATGTTGTGGCTTTTTGACGATTAGGTGGGAGACGGAAACACTGACCATTACTGCTGGCAAAGGCCAGAGGACATGACAACGGACCGTCACGGTTACAAGATCGATCCCAACAATCCCGGGTCGGATCTGGCCGGAGAAACCGCGGCTGCCATGGCAGCCGCATCTATTGTTTTCCGACGCTCTAACCCTGCTTATTCGCACGAACTTCTCAGCCATGCGTACCAGGTATACACACACTCTACTAATTAACTTTTATTTATTTATTTTATTCAGTTATTTTCGTGTTACTGTTTAATGTAATGAGCGCATTGTAGTGTGTAGAGAGTAGACAACGAGTGAAGACATGGTGCGCATGAGTTAGTTTGTTGAGAACAACAGTATTTTGTTATTTGTGAGTGAAACGGTTGGAGTTAAGAGGCAGTTACACTTTTATGACTCTTCTGTCAGAGTCGTTAATGCTACCAAGTTGTGCCGAATAGGTTAACGCTGCGTTTCTGCAGTACCCCAAAACTTTTCGTTAAAAAGTTACTCCTACGATTAAACCCCAACATTATCCCTTTCTTCATTCATGAAAATGATCATTTTCTTCTAATACATCCGCGACGCTAGTTAATTAAGCATTTTTGGGTCCCATCAAAATGCTTTTTGTACACTTCTTAATTTTTTTTCCCCACTACTTTTTCTTTAGTCACCCTTAATCTTTCTTTTGTGCAGTAATGTTCATTCCAATTTTTTTTTTTTTTTAGTAACTAAAGAAGTGTGAATGGATTCTTTTAACGCATTCATTCCCGTTCTTTAATAATACCCTCCCTTTATTTTTATTTTATTTCTTATATTTCTTACCCTATTAACAATAATAATAATAATGAGTGTGGTCCAAAAATAAAGTTGGTAGTTATGTCTAGGACATGGAGAAGAAAGAAGAGTGACCAAGTCTCTCATGGGTTGTCCAAGCGACACCCTTACCCATTTATGACACCCTTACCCATTTATGTAGCCCGGAGGATCCTAACCTTCCCCTCGAAATGGATTCACATCACTCAAAAATGAAACTTCGTTATTGCCATTATGCCATGTCACGTGGGCTCAGTGTCGGTGCTATTTTGGGTCAAATAACACTTTGGTACTTGTTTGGTGCGTATTTACTCTTCAACAGTCAATGTGAATTGGGTCTTAAAATAAAAATAAAACAATAAATCCAAATTGTGTTGTTTTTCTTTTTACTCGTATTTTGATAAGTTGGACCTCTATTTTCTGCTACCTTCGCTTTACTCTTTGACCAACTTCCAGATTCCTTTTCTGTTTTCTGTCACTGTTCTTGATAGGTGAAAAACACGTTGCATTTAATTATTCATTTATTAGAGTTGGGGTGATGAAGAGTGAAAGATGCTTCTGAAATTCTGATATCAATAATGCCCTTGAGTAAAAATAAAATATGCTACTGCGGATCTGAATCTGATTACCCCTCTGATCTTGGCTATTTTAGTTGCGTCTAATAAATGAGGATATCCGAGAGGTTGATCTAATAAATGTTTCACCAACTTAGCATAAGCTTAATTAATTAATTAGTTTATTGAATGATAATAGTCGTAATGGATTCACTTTACTCCATTTCATTTCCACCAGGACTTATCCTCTTTGCCTTTTGTTCATTTGCAGTTGTTCGATTTTGCTGACAAATACAGAGGCAAATATGACAGCAGCATTACCGTTGCCCAGAAGTACTACAGATCGATCAGTGGCTACAATGTATGTTTCTCTTTTTTAATTGTGTTTTCTATATTAAATTTGAATTAATTTAATATAACGTTCAGATGCAGTTATTGGCTTGAATTAAAATTAAAATAAAATCAATTGTAAATAGGAGTAAACAAAAGTAATAGTAGTTGATGTACGTGCAGGATGAATTGCTCTGGGCTGCTGCTTGGTTGTATCAAGCATCTAACAATCAGTATTACTTGGATTACCTTGGAAGAAACGGTGATTCCATGGGTGGAACTGGTTGGAGCATGACTGAATTTGGTTGGGATGTCAAGTATGCTGGGGTTCAGACACTGGTTGCCAAGGTAATAATTCCAATAATTCTTAGCTTCTTCTGTGCGTATTTTGTTAAACATTAGTGGCTAAAGGAGTTTTCTTTGTTTCTTCGTTACAGTTCCTGATGCAGGGCAAAGCTGCTCATCATGCACCAGTCTTCGAGAGATATCAACAGAAGGCTGAATCCTTCATGTGCTCATGCCTTGGAAAGGGTTCTCGCAATGTTCAGAAAACTCCTGGTGGCCTCATCTTCCGCCAGAGATGGAACAACATGCAGTTTGTCACAAGTGCCTCATTTTTAGCCACTGTCTATTCTGACTACCTTGCTTCTTCTGGTAGAAACTTGAGATGTAATTCAGGAAATGTTGCTCCTGCTGAGCTTCTCTCCCTTGCAAAGTCTCAGGTAATTCCACCCCCTGCATTCCCTTTCATAGTTTCACTTGGTTAGCTGTTCCTGATAATATTTGTCTCTATTTAAAGTTTTAGTTCTTATGTAGTGAAAGTGCAAGTTTTAGTCTCTACGCCGTTTTTTATGATGGACTATCACTGGCTAAAATTGTTTGTAGGGTTTTATGTTACTAGAAAGTCTCCTCAAGTATTAGTGAAAGGGACCAAAACTCCGGCAAACATAGATGTGTTGGGACTAAGACTTAACAATTTTCTCGTATAAAGGCTGAAAATTTATAATGGAAATAACTATAAGAACTAATTGAATAGTTTGACTTGATGTTTCATTCATTAAAGATATCAGCGGGTTCTCAATACTTGACATGTTTAATCTTCAGGTGGACTACCTTCTTGGGGACAACCCCAGAGCAACTAGTTACATGGTGGGCTATGGAAGCAACTTCCCTCAAAGGGTTCATCACCGAGGTTCATCGATTGTTTCTGTCAAGGTTAACCCATCATTTGTCAGCTGCCGTGGAGGTTATGACACTTGGTTTAGCAGCAAAAAGAGTGACCCCAACCTACTCACTGGTGCTCTTGTTGGTGGACCTGATGCATATGATGACTTCGCTGATGAAAGAGATAACTATGAGCAGACAGAGCCAGCAACCTATAACAATGCTCCTCTCGTTGGTATTCTAGCCCGTCTCCATGGAGGTCATGGTGGCTATAACCAGCTTCTTCCAGGTATTGCCATCATTATAATTACTTTATTCCCTTTCCTGTTAAAACTCTTGGTAATAACGTTGTAATCAGCTTTAATTTCTTCCTTGCAGTTGCTGTGCCAGCTCCTAAGCCTGTTGCTACCAAGCCTCAACCATCCCCCAATACCAAGACAACTCCATCTCCAGGTAATGTTTGACTAGTCACCTCACTAGTTCACTTGCACATTTTATATTGCCTAATCAACTGATGAATACTTTAAACTAAAATGATGTATGTTGAAATCAAAAGCTAACGGGATTTTTTTTTTTTTTTTCAGCTTCATGGTCTGTCCCAATTTCTATTGAACAGAAAATGACCACCTCATGGGTTGCCAATGGAAAAACTTATTACAGATACTCAACAGTGGTGACCAACAAATCTAACAAGAGTCTCAATTCTCTAAATCTTTCAATCTCCAAGCTTTATGGTCCAATCTGGGGTCTCACAAAGTCTGGTGATTCGTACACATTCCCATCATGGCTCAGCTCATTAGAAGCAGGCAAAAGCCTTGAATTTGTGTACATCCATTCTACTTCTCCAGCAGATGTCTCTGTGGCTAACTACGTGTTGGCCTGAGAGGGTTGAACTTGGGTTCGATGTGACAAGGGAATAGTTTACTGCTTTGTTGTTTAAGACTGTGTAGCCATACAAATGTGCAGTGAGGAGAGGGTCTTTACGTTTTTTACTTTTATATTTTGGTGTCAAATTTTCTTCTTCTTCTCTTGTGTATTTCGCATTTCAGTAGGTTAGATAAAAATAGGTAGATTATATAAGATGGAAGGACCGGAGCAGAAAGGAGTGACGAGACAAAAAGGCAGAGCTCATCCTCTCTCTTCTCCGCTTTACAACTTATATACAGTGAGTGATACATGACAGACAACGAAACAGGGCTGTTGAGAAGTTTTAAAAAAAATGATCTTCTCAATATTTGAGAGAAGAGTCATTACTTGTATTTTTCAACAGCTTTGGATGTCTTTTCTGTGTTTGATGTTGTAAGCTTTGCAGCATTTTGTACTCTACAGAGAAACAGTTTGTTCTCTCTCTCTCTCTCTCTCTCTCTCTCTCTCTCTCTATATATATATATATATATATATATATATATATATATATATATTATCATTTCCGTGTGCTATGCAATTCTATCTTGCATATTTGCCTATTTTAAGTTTATTAATTATAATTTAATGGTTGAAAACTTTCCAGTCTGTGTGGTATATCTGAGTTCTATAGAAAACTGTTGTGTGATTCTAAATTTTAACTTATACTCAGTAATGATAAATGCAAGTTCACATTCTCACATAGCCCACGAAATGACTGGCTAAAAAGAATTCTTGTGTGTGAAAATAGTAGTCACTCACATGTTATCTCATATAACGCTCACGGGAAGGGTCGTTATTCTCTAGGTATAATTATGTTTGGGAGTATTGAATTCACGTTTTTTTTTTTTTGGAAAATTTGAAGTTATTCAAACGAGCTTTTGTCTGTATTGTATATAATCACTTAATCTAACGCAAAACCAAATATACACTAAAAAAACAAATTAAAACTTGAAAATGTAATAAAAGCTGAAAACCGATTTGCCACCAATAATGATCATCACCACAAAACACTTGGGTGTTTAATAAAAAACCTAGGGGAAATCTCATAAAGTAGGAAGCTTCTATGCATTGTTTACAAGATGCTCTAATCTGAAGCAAATGTGAGAGACTATCTTTTATTAGAACCCCATGTGGGCTTCAAAGACAGAAACAGGAGATAACAGCTAAACTTTTCTGTAATACTTACTTATAATAGAACAATCATCAAATTAGTTCTGAAATGGTTGAAATCTGAAAAATGTTTATTAAGTTCGCTGACACACCCATTATTAAATGAGTAGCCAACATAAGAAAATTTAGATATAACGTGTACTTGTCTGTGAATTAAAATTTATCTGGCTTTTTGATTGAGACTATCACTTTTAAAATTTATGTGTGCTTGTTGGGCTGTGATAAACTGACATTTGTTGGGCCTAAAAGGTCCGAGGAGGCTCAATTGGGTTAGATGGGATTGGATCCCATTTCAACGAAGAAAAATAATTCAATCCAATTTATTGGGTTATCATGGTGGTGAGATTACCTAACCCAAAGAATACTGACTATGTTTCTGGCCGAATCGAGATCAAAGCCAAGTAAGACTCGTCGAAGTATATCATTCATTGGGTATTTGGCTCCGATTTAAGTAGTGAGAGAAAGAGAGAAAAATCTAAGGAAGATGAATAACGAAAGCAAATTGATCAGACTCTGCATACAGGCAGCATGTGAGAGCAGCGAAAGCGTGGAAAAATGGCGGACGCAGAGGCGCAGTCTCGATCTCTTGCCTTCTCCTCTCGCCGAGTCTCTCCTCCACCGCCTCGTCGACCGCCGTCTCCTCTACCCTTCCCTCCTCGAGTACTCTCACTCTCTCTATCCCTCATCTTCATCACGATCATGTTCCATTTACGTTTCTAATTTTTTTTTTTCGTTCATGTTAGGGTCTTCAAACACAGCGTCGAAAAGGTTATCTTTAGAGAGTACAGAATCGTGGACGCGGAGTGGATGGCGTATTTGGGAGCTTTTCGTCACTTGCGCTACTTGAACCTCGCCGATTGTTATCGAGTCTCCTCTTCAGCTCTTTGGCCAATTGCAGGTATTGAATCCATCTTCATTTTTCACACTATGCTAACTGTCAATGTTTACGATGTGGCTCATTACGTGGTGCTTAATTGGTTTTAGGAATGACTACTCTTCGTGAGTTGGATCTGTCTAGATGCGGCAGGATCAATGATGCCGGAATTAACCATCTTCTCTCCGTTCCTAATCTGGAGAAGTTGCACATTTCAGAAACTGACGTCACTGCCAAGGGTGTCAAGCTTCTCGCCTCTCTTGAAAACTTGTCTCTTCTTGACTTAGGTGGCTTGCCCGTAGATGACGAGTCGTTAACTTCGTTACAGGTATTTTATTTCCCCTTAGATGCTAGTGTAATAAGTTAATAATCAGTGGTATACCAGTCAGTGATTTTTACGCCATCAATTTATGTTAAAATTGCCGTGTTTTTTTTTTTTTTTTTTTGTAACTGTATAACTTTTATGGACTTTGTTGTGCAGCTCGATGTACATGATAATTAGGCACACTATCGATAGTTGGATTGTTCTAATACATTTTATTACAGGAGTTTGCTGAAGTATCCACACCTAGTTTTTTATTGGGTTTATACTTGATGTGAGACATTGTTTGCTTCTTCTTTGATTCTTATTTTTAAGATTATTTCTGTGAACACCATTGGCCATGTTCTGCTTCTAAATCCGTAATAACATAGTTGCTGACTAGTTATGGTTTTGCATTTAATTGCGGTTCAGTTTAATACCGTTTTCCCATGTTTTGGCTTTGGGCTATAATGGACTGCTATATGCAGCAGTTCATTTGTTTGCAGATGGTTGGAACACGCATTTTTCCGAATGACTTGTTTGAACTCACTATTATGCATTACTGTTTGTTTCAGTCAGGGGTCCAATGTATTACCTTTCGGAGTGTGCATGTGTTTATGTGGGTACACACTTTGGTGTTTGCTTATGAGTTTGTGTTTAGTTCTCAAGTGTTAAAAATATTCTTATATATATATATATATATAATTTTTTGATGACCTTTACTGTTTCCCTTCAAACATTCTCTTCCTAGGTACTGAAAAAGCTACAGTATATTGATCTCTGGGGTAGTAAAATATCAAATAAAGGTGCTGCTGTTCTCAATATGTTGCCCAAGTTGACCTATCTCAATCTTGGTTGGACCAGTGTCACAAAATTGCCTAAATTATCATCTCTTGAATACCTGGACATGAGTAACTGTACTGTTGAATCTGTACTTGAAGATGATAAATCTCCTTTGTCAAAGCTTATTTTCACTGGGGCTACATTCCTGAATGAAGCTGGAATCTTCCTGTATGCAAATACAAATCTCCTATCCTTTTTGGATTTATCTTATTCGAGCCTGCGCAAATTCTTCTTCTTAAGAAAAATGAAAGTAGTAGAACATCTCAATCTCTGCGCATGCATGATGGGGGATGATTCAATTAAGATGCTTGCATGCGCTAGTGGTAACTTGAAAAGTCTGAATCTGAGCCGTACCAGGGTTAGTTCTGCTGGATTAGGGATTTTAGCTGGACATGTTCCCAATCTTGAAATTCTGTCATTATCTCAGACTCCAGTGGATGACACTGGGATCTCATTTATCAGTATGATGCCTTCACTAAAGGACCTTGACCTGAGCAATACAAACATTAAAGGTATTTTATTAGTTGACATAGTTGTTGCTATTGTGATTTATAAATTCATTTGCAGTGCCTGTGGTGCTGATATAGGTTCTACCCTGGTTAAATCCTACCATTTTTGCAGCCTATTGGTTGATCCTTTTTACTTTACCATTGGGATGCTCCTCACTACGAAACTTCTTTGCTAGACTAACCTGTCTGTTTTAATATTTTATCATTCGTTTCCTTTTACTGCATTTTTGGTGAAGAACAAAAGGATGCGTGCTTGCAGTATGTATATAAGATTAACATTTATTTATATGCTGATGTTGAAGTTGATTTGAAACCCTACTCAGAGTAAATCTTATCTTTAATTAAGCCAACTATTCAACATATCCTGTTTGGTCTACATCAACTTGTGTGGGAAAAGAGCTGGTTTTCCAATCAAGGGTTGATGTTAATAAGGGGCATTTGTTTGAGAAAATGTTTTGTTTTCATTTTTAATTACAAAAAAGCCACATTTTCACTTCATTTCCTATTTTCAAAGTTAGTATAGGATGCAGTGAAAGCAAAAAAACCAATAAAACGTTTTTCTTTTCTATGCAGACCTTTGAAAACAGGATGCGAATTGGTTATACAGTACCATTTTCATAATTTAAAATGAAAACAAAAAAGGAGAACATAAAACATTTTTTAAACCAAAACGCTCCCTAAGAACTATCACACTAGCAACAAGATGCATTTCATATTAAGAAAATTAAGTTGTTGACTGATGCTGAATGATTTGTACTCTATATTCTAATTCTAATTCATACTGAGGCTGGAATATTTATTGAACAGTAAATGTGGGGTTTGGTGGTGGTAAAGCTTTGGGCAAAAATGGCTATTCAAATAAAACTCCCATTATAATTTTCTAGTATTACTCCCCAGGACCATTTGGAAGATGAAGACCATCCAGTCCAGCCCAAAGCTGTATGTCCCAAGACCATTCACCTATTCTATGATGGACTAGTTAATGGGGCAATTGGAATAGGATGCATTTCCTTCTCATCATTTCCTAGGTTTTTAGTTGTGGAGGGAAAATAGAGGGAGATGTATGGTTATTTGTTACAGTGAGAATGTGTGATTGCAATGGGTGGTTACAAAAGGGGTGGCAGCATCTGATGGGGAGTGAGGCTTGCCTACGAATTTGGCATTTTTTTAGGCCTGAGATGTATCTTCCAGGAATAGGGGCACCGCTCCATTATATCTTAGTTAACCAGTTGTATTACTTATATATGGCTTCAATTTTAAAATCCCTCACTTCTATAGTAGTTATTGAACCTAAATTGTATTTAAGGTCTATTTGGTTTGAGGAAACCTTTCCTTTTTTTGCATTTAACTACCAAAATGTGACCTTGTTTTCACTATATTTCTGATTTTTAGAGATTTGAAAAGTAAGCAATGAAAACAAAATATTGTTTTTATAATTTCCTAAACAAATATTTTAAAAAAGGAAATAGAATGAAAGTGATGTGACATTTTTGTAACTGTTTATGCAAACAGAACTGAAAGCTAAAATATTTCTTAAACTGACACTGCCCTTAATTTCTCAAATAGACAATGTCCTTAATTTCCCATCTTTGTTTCTAAAACTTTTTCTTACTGATTAAGCATTTAATTAAATGCTATAGTGAATGATTTCAATGTAACAAATTGTAATTTTCTTTTGTATTTGTGCATTGTACTGTTCAAAATGTCTACATTTTGTTTCTATATCCATGTTCTGCTTCTAATTTTAACATTTTGTCTTTTAGCTTACTATCTATATTTTGGACTTAGGTTTTCTGCACCAAGGAAGGATTGATGTGGACTCTCCACTCTCCCTAATGGCTTTGAAAAATCTTAAATTAGAAAGGTTGAATTTGGAGAATACGCAAGTTAGGGATGAAGCTTTATACCCTTTGTCAAGCTTCTTAGAGCTGAGATATTTATCAATTAAAAATGCTTCACTTTCAGACGTTTCATTTTGCCATTTATCATCTATTCCTAAATTGACAAATCTTAGTATTTGTGATTCGTTATTGACAAATAATGGGCTTGATGAGTTTAAGGCTCCTGAAACTCTGAAACTGCTGGACCTCGGAGGTTGTTGGCTCTTAACTAAAGACACTATCTTGTCGTTCGGTAGACGTCATCCACAAGTTGAAGTCAGAAATGAACTTTGTACTTTATATGCTTCTAATCAAAATGGACTTGATCATTCCTCTCCATCTCGATCAACTTCCAGGACTAAGCAAATGGCTAAGAAGAAAAATCAAGTTCTGCTATCTCCGTATCTTCTAGGTAATTGCTATTTACCTTCTAGTTTTTAAGTTTCTAGTTATATATGATTATCTAATTTGATTTTTCCTTTATTTTTACATAGATCAAAGATTGAAATATAGCAGGGATGAGTTACTTGTGTTGCAGTTTACGTCCTTGCCTCTTGCATCTAGTAGTGAGAGTGGCAATTCAATATTTGAGGAAATATTGGATTGTACGAAGAAATCTCCTTCTATATAATTTAGTTGCACTAATGGGCATTGGTAATTGTTTATATTTTTGCTTGTTTTTCTTAATCGTTGTCAATTTTATAATATTACTTTGCTTTGATGTTATTCTAAATAACGATATGCTCCTGCCATTTATGCTGGCTATGCGCATTTTGGTTGCTTTGCGGGCAAAGGCATGTGATATGAACAGAGTGGATTAGTACCCCAGATCCGATGTAATTCAATGGTTCTTAATTCTAATGCACATGGTCAAAACCGAATCATGTTTCTGGTAGAGAAATCGAATGTGATGGTGAGCCTTGGTTCTAACTTACCATGGCGTACACGTAGATATGCAATGGGGATTAAGAAAGATTTTGGTATATTATGTGTTTTGTTGCGGTGCAGTGGTGGACATGTCAAGTGGGGAGTTTGCTTGATGAGATGGAACACTATACAGAGAAATTGGCACTTAATCTTGTGTTTTCATCGTAGTCAGCTAATCATAATTCACAATTACATCGTTGTTTTATGAATTTTGTGCTTTTATTTTGCAACCAGACTGTGGACAGGCGGTGATGGTACGCAAGTCTCAAATAATACTATGATAAGATATAACTAGTATGACATTTTCAATAACTCTATCATAGAATGTAACTTTTACGTTCTGGTCGCTTAATTATAATTTCATATTATCTTAAAAGAATTAAGATATTAAAAAAAAGAACTAGATAATAATTTAAACAGTTCTATTGTTGGTTCCAGTCTTTATATTATCCAGATAATGAAGCATTACTTCAACACTCAAATCAATCAAATCTGATTCAGTTTACAGTCGTTACCCAGGAGAACTGCCGTTTCCACGAAAAATAGAAAACACGGGTGAAGTAACTATGTATACTCACTAAAAGAACCCTTCATCCATTTTAACCTTTGATAAAAACTTAACTTCATAATTACTGTTGGATGTAACTAGATTTAGTAGGTCTTTATTGTTTTCAAATACATTCATTGATGTTAACATACCTAAAATTGACAGTATTCGTGGGCGAAGTAAGTTCAAAGTCACAAGATTAATGTGTTGGAATCTTATTTGCTACTATTGAAAGACAACATTTACAGTACTCCTAAACCAAATGTTACAATTTTTACGTAGACCAACGTCGAATGATATTGAGGTAATCATATTATCATATTTTGATTCAAATGTTCTAGGTAAATAAAATAATATTTTAATAGTTATGTATAATTATAGTTAAATTTATAAATGGGTACTATACTTCAACATCAAAATCAGCAAAATATATCAACATATACTCATATATACTATACTTAAATGCACTTGAATTTCCAATTGTTAGTGTAAAATTGACAGAACATCATGATATAGAACGCTAAAAATTTGATTTGAACACTTTGATCCTGTTAAAAGTAAATATGCTTTTAAAAAACGTATAATTTATTTAAATCTTATACATTAAAAGTTTTAAATCATATCCCATTATTAAAATTATTATATTTTTATGAGTGGATGTAAGAAAAAGTTTATATATATATATATATATATATATATATATATATATATATATATTAACGAGACCGAATACTTAGAACTGTTCATTTAAAAAAATTGTGAATAAATCTTATTTTAAAATATTTAAATTTTATATAAGATATCACTTGAATGTTTGAAATATATTCGAATAAAATAAAATATAACAAAACTTATTCATATTATTGATGCTAAAAAACATATTATTAACTACGTATAATATTCACACTAAAAATTAATCAACAGGAATGAGAAATGATAATTAAATAGTTATTTTCTTTTTCTGTTAACCCATCATTAATGTCTGCTAAATATTGTATAACAGGGCTCAATATCAAGATTTTCTCATTGAAAATCTAATTACTATTGTAATAGAGAAATAAGTATTATTTATTGTCAAGACAAGACAATAATTTAATAGTTTTATATATAAAATTTCCTATCTAAACATATTTTTGCACCTTATGATTGAGCAACTATCCATGCATATTATTTGCTATCTGTATATGAATAAATCATCTACCCAAACACAAAAAGGGAAAGCAAGTGCAGTCACACGCATAAACTAAATTGTCTTCGTCACTTTGGCTCCCAAAGCATATCTCAGGCACTGGATTTGTTCTGTGTGTTCAGTGTTTTATACATGTCGTCAATGGTATTCTGTGCACAAAAAAACTTGGTAGTCAATACTAAAACTAAAACTTGTATTAGTTCAGAAACATGGATTAGAAAGGTGTACAACAAAAATTAAAACCTGTAAATAGTTTATGAACATAATAAAAGTAAGGAGAAAAGAAAAGCATCATCCATTCCATTTGTATTTATATGAAACGAAATTAAATCCAAGAGTATTTGAGAATTTGTACCTGATAGTATTTAAGCAATTCGGGTCTTTTCTTCTTAAATGTTGGAGTCATAAGGCCACGTTCCATGTCAAATGGAACTGGGTCAAGATTAACAGCTTTAATAAACTCAAAACCTTTCAACTGACCAAAAAAAAACTTGATTAAGATAATATAAAGCTTCAACAAATGTATCTGTTTTACACCTTCTCAAATTTATCATTTAAATATATATTGCATATGGAGATATAAACCTTCTTATCCTTCGCAATCTTGACGAGCTCTCCGATTATGTAAGTTTTTGTCCTGGAATCTTCACAGAGAGAATCGAAGTTTGCAGTTATATCATTTTCTTCTGCCCATTGTTCAAGTGCTGGCTTGTTGGGGTTAATAATAGCAACTAGGTACGACTCAAAACTATTCCCATAAATCCATATCTGAAATAAAGGGGAAAAATAACTAAAATCAATATGATTCTATACATGCAATGCAATGAAAACAAACTCAAATTAAACTTTCATTCTATATTTACACTAAATTAAAAAGAGAAGGGTTCACAGGACATACAGAATCAACAGCAGAAGCTTGAACATAAATATTCTCCAGATGTTCAACAGCAACATATTCTCCTTGTGAAAGCTTAAATATATTTTTTTTTCTATCAATAATTTTCATGGTTCCATTAGGTTGCCACTCTCCAATATCCCCTGTTTAAATGGATCATTCATGAATAAAATGTGAGCATGCAACTCATATAGAAAAGCATATATTGATTATCTAAACTTAAATTGAAAAATGGAGAAATGAACCTGTGTGGAACCATCCATTGGTCATAACCTCTTTGGTTAGGTCTTCACGTTTGTAGTACCCTGTGAACACAGTTCTTCCCCTCACACATATTTCTCCTCTTGGAGTGCTTGCAAGAGCATCATATCCCATTTCAGGAATAGATTCAAGGCACACATCCACATATGGTACAGGGGGCCCCACTGTTCCAAGCATGTCCTTATGGTTTGGCAATGACACAAAGGTTCCAGCACAGGTTTCAGTTAGACCTATTTTAACGAGAGCACATTAATAAGTTCATGCTCTCACAAGAACACATGCACTAATGCAAACAGAAGATTTAATGCATCAGTACTTAGCTTACAATTAGCACAAAATTCTTATGGATGAAAGAAATTGCTTACTAGATTAATCCAATCTAGATTCAATTTTTTTTTATGTGGCAGTTACAACATCTATCTAAATTACCCCATAGTATTTGGTAGGTTCTCTTATATCTTGATTGAATTTCTTTTCTTTCAGTGAATGTGATTGCTTCTTCTCTTAATGGGAATATGACTTGTAGATTGAAACTTGGAGTAATTCACTATAGATATTGAAAATCAAGGAATAAGAATTGATAATTGTGTGATATTATGAATTCTTACACACAATGCTGGTTCCAAAATAGTGTTAATTTACTGCATTCAAACGAGGATCTCTAGTCCTCCAATTCCCATGTAAGTTTTTTTTTCGTCTTCATCCAAATGAATTTTTCTATTATAAAAAATATTCAAAAAACGATAGTATGGCATGAACAAGATCAATAGAAATCAAACAAAAGCATACCATATCCTTGTAGGATATGAGCACAGGTCACCACCCGTAGAAAACCTTCCACATGTCTAGATAGAGGTGCTGCTCCAGACAAAATAATACGCACTCTTCCCCCCAAACCTTGCTTTACCTGATCAAGTTACAAAACAGAATATATTAGTCAGCATTTTTGTTACACTTGTTGTTCATAACAAAGGGATGTGGAATTAAAATTAATAATGTTGCACCACCTTATTAAATACAATTCTGTCAAATAGTGGAGATGCTTCATCATGATTTTGCCCTTTACTTATGTTATGCAACTTGCTGCAAAAAAAAAATAAAAAATTATCATAATATTATAATTATGGTAAGTGATCACAATAATTTTGATATTTAACCTAAGAAAAATCCAAATGAGCTTTCTGTGCGAATTGATTTAGGATAGGAACACTCATACAGGGTATGTAATGTTTTGACCAAGATAGCAGTGACAAACAAAAACACAGTACTTACTATGAGTAGGCGAAATTGAACACTGTCTGTTTTATAAATCCTCCTGTAGAAATCTTCTGTGTCAAACCTGTATATCAAATTGAGATTTTTTTAATGCATAACTCTTTGTTTGTGAGGATAGGAAAAACTGTTCAAAAAGACCGACAGGAAAAAAGGGAATTAATGGAAAAGACTACTCCAATAATTAACAAATAATTTAGAATGTTTGCCCTTCCTGAAATCAACAACACATGATTTTAGAAGGACACTAAATTGTCAACAATGGAAAAACTTACCATTGTATACTCTATCAAGCACACGGGGAACTGCAACGAAAATGGTTGGCTTTAGCTCCCCAATGTCTTCTAGTAACAATCTGACATCCTGCAACCATTACACAAATTTTATTTACATATTATCAAAGTTTGACTTTTCTTGGCATAAGTCAAATCTAAGGCTCAACAATCATATCATGCTTTCATTCAGAGATGAATCACTAGACACAAATACTCACTCCTCGCCAGAAACCTATTGAGGCACCGTGCATTATCATTGCCTCCTCAATGACCCTATCAAATATATGTGCAAGAGGAAGGTATGATAAGTATACATCTTTCTCACTCAGCTGCAAGCATGGAAATGGATAATAATTAGGAAAGACAAATAAAGGATATAGCAAAATATTCATTTTTAGAGACTCAAATAAAAAGGCTAACACTAGCTTACTTTCTCATTGCAACTCTTCAGAACTTTCTCAATGCCAGCTAAAAGTGTAATGATGCTTTCATTGGAGATCAGCACACCCTTAGGGTCACCAGTAGTTCCACTGGTATACATTATTGTACATACGTCACTTTTCTTTTTCTCAGGAAGATCAAAAGTCTGATCATGACCCTGCTCTAGACATAAAAAATTTGCATGAGGATTGAGAAACACAACCGGTAAATATCCATAGAACTACAAACACATTGCTTTGCTTGGCCTATGGAAGTGTATGTGTACCTACATATTTTGAACTGGATTTTACATTTACAAGAAAATATATTCCTATTATTTACAGGCATAATAATGACAGACATAAGACTGTGATACTTTGCTTTTGCACTCTGTTATAGAGTGATTCTAGATACTCCTTCTATAATAAGTTGTCAGTATCTGCAATTACTCTTAAACACATTATTTTCAATTAAATTTAACAGCTAATAGTAAGAGAAAGATTGACAATGCATTAAATGAATAACGCACCACTTTCAAAAATTCATTCCATGAATAGATTGTCAACTCAAACTTTTCAAGTTCTTGCCTTTGTTCAGGGGTAACATCTCCAAAGCTCACAAGTGCTACAAAATTCATGAATAAAGGTAATCAATTTTTTTCCAAATATGTAAATATTTTATGAATGAAAATAGATAATCCATAAAACATACTCTTGATATATTTTGCTGCATTTGGAAATGTCTTCAATAGCTGAAAAGTTTCAAAAACAAATATAAATAGAAAATTTCATCACACAACTCTTAATCCTTCGTAACTATAATACAATAGAAAAATTCAATAGGCATAAACCTCAGGTATCTTCTTTTCTTCAACAAATGCAATGGAGACCTCTGCATGGCTTATAATAAATTCCACAGCCCCAGCACCTAATAAGTCACATATGTGTATCAATGTCAAAACCCATTACAATTAAAATTTGAAAAATAGTAGAGTATGACAATTGTTTATGGTTAAAGAATCAAAGAAATTTGCCATGTAAATCATATGGATAATTAATGTGAATAATGGTCAATGGGACATTATTGTTTTCAATATAAACATTAAAGCCTAAAGGACTGTTGTGTGAATAGTTGTGGATATATAAACAGCATTACATGTTCCTCCATCTAATAATTAAATTGTTTAGATGACTGGTTTTTGACAATATTGAATCTTGTGTATTAATATCAAGACAAATTTCAGTATGTGGATGAATCAATGCATCACCATATTGAAGAAACATGTTAAATAAGCCTTGAACATACCCAAGGTATCGTATAAAGGAACACAGAAAAGTCCATGAGCATTGCAAGCCTGCAATTATGTACACCAATGTGTCAGAAAATATTGCGAAGATATAAGCTAGTTTAGCAACACTAAAAATGACACCTCGTAATTTCGAACAGTAAATAAAAGTCATTCATTCAAGAGATGAAAATCGTGAAACAAAGTTTCAATAAAAAAATTGCCTTATTCAAATCATAAACCAACTACAGTAGTCCACATCAACAATACAATAAAAAAAAGTATACAACGAAACAAACAAGCAAAGATCAAAATATAAATTCAATAGAAATCTCTCAATAGAAGTATTAGTAGAAAGAAAATCAAAATCAATTGTACCTCCATGCTCATGATCCATTTTGGGCCATTGGCACCATAAATACCACATTTTACTCCCTGAAAATAGGCATTGTGAAAAGGTAGTTAATTACATAAAAAAATAAAATACTGAAAGACTTCATAACCAAGCTATTAAAGAGATGAAAGTGCATTATCAAACGCATAAATATTACAAATAAGTAAATAAGATAACAAGTTGACAACACTGTTGAGAATCCAAACTATAGGAGTAAAAAGAATTAAAATATTAAAACAAGTTAAAGCAAAAACATGGTTTCATTGTTTGGTGAAAGGAAATAAGCAAATGTGACTTACATCCCCATAACCACAAGCACGAATGGAGTTTCCAACTATAACCACCATGTCGTACACCTCTTTGTAAGTTTGCCACTTGTACTTGCCAGGCTACAAAAGAGGTGACACAGGTCATAACACACTTTCACAATCACAAAAACAATAACAAACACAAAAGTGAAACAAAAAGACAGAGCTTACTTTCCCATCCACAATTTCACGAACACCAAGCATTGGCTTTGTAGGGTATTTCTCCACCGACATCCTATACAAGCACAACCAGTTAGAAACAATAATCTCTTACTATATGCAAGTCTCGTCCCCTCCAACTAAAGCTGAATACATGAGACAAAATTCCTCCATTCACCAATTGCTGTAGAAATATATATCATATAAGATTATTTTTTATTAATTAACGATATAAATACCTTTGCGCCATAAAAAATTAAACTTATGTTTCTTCCCATGCTATCTTCTTTTTATAAAACAAAATCAATCGAAACATAGGAAACATTGGGTGGACGTGTAACATATGATGAGTTGATTGTTATGGTTGGTGTTGTGCTGTGTTATCTTTTCAGTCATATTTCACGAATATCCTCCTCCAAATGTCACTTAAACACAATGTAACACTTTTTTAGTTATAGATTCAAATTTTGGTTCCTGACATTGCAAGAGGCTAGTCTTTTCCACTAGATTCAAGTCAGAACGGGTATATGTTACGCTATATTATACATATTGAGATAAATAATAAGACTAATTAAAGGTGATTGTGGAGATTGTGCATGAAAATAACATGGTAATGGTATGTGTGTATACCTAAAAATATCCCAGCATGTTTCAAGACCTTGAATGGGAGGAGGAGTTGGATCATTGCAGAAAATGCTACGATAGACAGGACCCATAGATGGCCTTTCCTCTGAGCCCTCTGTGGCTTTCTCCACCTCCACGATGAACCTTTTTTCTGCCATCCCTCAATCAACAAAGAGATGGACCCTTTCTTGTGTTGCTTCTCTTCTCTTCTCTTCAAACTCTCTCAATGTAACCTTAATCAAAACCTGTTATGCCAAAGACAGTTTTTATTGGTCAACCATTTCAGATCACTACACACTTTTTTCTCGCTTAACTAGCTAGTTAGTTACTCATTTCCTCCAATTTAACTTTTTATTTCTATTTTTTAATTTCTCTACAGTGAAAATCAAGTGAAAAATAGATTTTATATTCTTATAGTAATATTTTTACTCTATACTTAAACCCTTAGTAGTTTTAATTTTGAAAGGAGTTTAAATTATAAAAAAAAATACTTTATGAAATATTTTTACATTTAAAAAAAAAAATAAAAAAATATATATATATATATATATATATATATATATATATATATATATATATATATATATATATAAGAAAACAGAAAGACAGTCCATTAAGATAATTGAATTAATTATTTCTCTATTTTAAGCTTCAATTGGACTTCATCAATTAAACGAGTTAATTAAGATAAAAATATTTATAAATTACCTTTATATATTTTATTGTTTGTTATATAAATGTATTTTTATTCTATAAATATATTTTATTATTAATTATGTAAATATTATCCGTACTGCAACCCAAAATTGGTGTGGGTCCTACTATAATCACAAGCTTACGTTTCATTAATATTCTTACCCACATCCGTAATTAATTAAAAAATTTATGTTATATTAAATAACAGTTATATTTTCTTTAGTTTTAAAATAAATATTTATTTTTTCGTAATTTTTAATAAAATGATACTTACATTATTTATAATTTTTAAATCGATATTTATTTATCTAGTATTTTAATAAAATAATATTTAATTTTACTTATTAATTTTATAATTAAACATAAACATGATATTTTTAAATAAAGTAAAAGAAGTGAGTGATATTTTTATAAAAAATATAACAATAACTTATGTCATTTATTAAAAACATAAAAAGAGATCAATATTTATTTACAAAGTAGGGAGAAGTCAATGCTATTATATATATATATATATATATATATATATATATATATATATATATATATATATATATAAAGTAGAGCAAATATTAATTTAAAACTAAAAGAAATGTATAAATGTAATCTCTCATTCTTATTAATAATTTTCCTTGCAACAAATTTTTACAAAAACTAGAACTAATAAAATTACTTTTTACTGATTAAAACAAAAATTCACAATTTCATAAGGATTAAAATATTTTAAATACTAACTATATTAATATTATGATCGTTACGTTTTTGTTTTGATTTCTCCACGGCATAAAATAATTACGATTTTTAAACAATATAAAATCATATCAAAATAATGTGAAATATATTATAATTTTATTTTCAAATTATATCAAGTCTAATTTAAAAAATTTAAATTAGATGATTAAGTGATAATCCATAAACAATCCTAAAGGGATGAATTGTCCTATCTTTAAACATTTACCACATAAAAACTCACTTTTAAAATGTATAAATAGATTTGTTTTAGTGATAAAATAGATGATAAACTATTGTTATATCCTATAAATAAATAATTTTTACGAGAACATGGTATATATTAAATTTTACAATAAAATAAAAATAATAGTAAAAAGGAATTTATTAATTTGATTTTGCATTATTTAGATTTTTGTTGTAGCGTGAATGGAAAATTCTCAATGTAATTGTGCAGTTGCTTGAGCAAGTGAATTCTCAATCGTATATCAGAAGTAAACCTTATTTAGAAAAAAAATGTATGAGAATTTAAAGGTTCAGACAAAATTTTGATATTTATGGGGATTTTCCAATCATTTTGCAATTCAACCCTCATATTATATGGTCTAGTCAAGTTAATGTTCGTGAATTTGCGTAAGATTTCTGCGGTTAACCGACAGTACAATAATAGGTAAAAAAAACAGGTGAAGTAATTCAATCTTTGACGTTTTATAATTTTTGTTAATTAGAAAACTAATTATTTTCTAGGATCTATAGAGGTTAATACTAATAAATATTTTTTTATTTTCTAAGATATATAATTTTAATTTTTTTATCTAATTTATTATTTAGAGATTATTTTTTATCTGTCACTAGATTTACAAAAAAAATTTAAGCTATTTTTTTTGTATTTAGAGATATTTAAGCACACCAATGTTTCAACACTTAAAAAATTATTAGCTAATTATTTTAAATTTAAGAGAAAAAAAGAGAGTCAATTGACTCATTTTAGGAGTATTGGCATAATTAATGTCACACATGGTCTTCCCAGACTGAAACTGATGCTATTCCTATTTAAAATAACCGCTCTTATTTGTGGCTTGTAGAGTTTAGCTTTGCCGCTGACAAATTAACTTATTCCAAAAAACTCAATAAGCTTATTGAAAAGCTACCCAAGTCACGAGGGAAAGAATCAGTTGACACCATAAATCCACTTCTCCGCATTACTGGAGAAACTGACCAACTCCTCTGGCTTAAACCACAGTTTAATCTCATCCTTGGCAGTCTCTGGACCATCACTCCCATGGATGATATTTCTGCAAGCACACGACAATAATAATCAAAATTCTGATGATCAAATAATGTATAATGCATTATACAAAGAGAAACTAAACTAGCAAATTTATTTGCAGAATAATTAGTCACCTTCCAACAACAACAGCCAGATCACCCCTAATGGTTCCAGGTTCTGATTTCTGAGGATCTGTGGCTCCAATTAGCTTTCTGCCATAGGAAATAACTCCCTGTCCTTCCCACACCTGTGACATCAATTTTTGGGACACAAGAAAAACAGATTAGGGCAGTCAATTGTTTGATTCCTGTGATCAGAGGGTTAGTCATTTCTATTTTCTAACCATGGCAATAACAGGGCCAGAGCTCAGGAAATCACACAGCCCATCGAAGAAGGGTCTTTCTTGCAGGTCGTGATAGTGCTTTTTGGCAAATTCCTTTGAAGGAATCACTACTTTAATTCCCACAAGCTTGTACCCTTTCCGCTCAAAACGAGATATAATCTCAGAAATCTGAAAAGGGAAAAAACAAAAATGGTGTGCAAAACCTGAACGAAGCTCAGAGAGGAAAGTGTGGAAGAAAATATTAGGCAGTCCCAAATTATCACGTGTTCATGTTTCAACTAATATATGTGTGACACAGTCAAATTAACGAATATAAAAAAATAAAATTGGTAACATTTTAATAGACATAATTTATAGATGACTATATATCGAGACTCATAATAATTTCTCAAAGTGGGGACCAAATTGCTACATGTGCAGACAAAGTTGCAATTGATCACATTGCTTCACAAACAAATCGTAAATAAGTGCAAAAAATGAATTTTCACTTTACCAGCCCTCTCTGCACTCCATCAGGCTTAATGGCAATGAAAGTGCGCTCCAGCTGTGTAAGAAAAAGTAGAGTCATGGTTTGCGCGTTATAATCGTGTCAAGGAAAACAGCAGGCAACCAACGAATGAGTGAAAAGACATGGACAATTAGTGAAATGTCAAGCATACCTCAGCCGCCTGCACCTCCTGATTTTGGCATAAGTAAACTTCAAGACACAACAGAAGAGAAAACAAATAAAAGTTAGTCGCAGAATATCAAGCTAAAGGAAGCTTGCTATAATATTGCGCCACGTTAAGATCTCACCGACTAATTCAAAGCATAGAAGTAAAACGTTAAGACTTTGTTCAAACTTTAATGTTAACAACTAGGTCTTAAAAAAAGCTAGTATATTTAAATAATGTAGAGTATGTATTATAATCAATGCAATCTTGTAGTAGGATTGATACACATGGCAAATAGAATAAATTGTTTATTCATTATTTTTCCAAGTGATTTATTTGTAAGATTGTTCCGTTACAGTTCTTGGTAGAGAGCGAGGAATGTGTCAAAAACTAACCGATGTTGGTTAAAAGTGAAAAGAATGCGCATGTATTTGTAACTTAAAAGACTTTATCAAAGTTTTGAAATATTTTACAATGTAGGGGATGTTAAGGGAATAAATAAAGTCTATATCACATCCAAAAACTTAACTTGATCCCCAAATAGTTGTATTGGTGTAGAAAAGGTCCCGGAAGCCACAAATGTTGCTGTTAAGCAGCAAGGGACGAGGCTCCTCCTCCTTTGCAATAAAAACGCATTATTCTTTTTTCTTTTTTTTTTTCTTTTTTTTTTTAGCTTAGACACCCCAATCAGCATCTCCTTTTACATATAATGAAACAGGGGCATATTGAATAAGAAGATGATTAAGATTTTTTTAGTTACATCTAATCTTAATTTTATGAAATTCTGTTACATAACTATATATGTTTCTTACATGTGTTAAATATATTTTTAGAACATATTGTCTGTTACATCAGATTCATACATCGTATCGGTACATCTTAGATCTTAATCATCTAAACTAATTGCGTAGTTTAGATCTATCATTTTTACACTCTTATCGTAGACAAATATATATGATCGTAAATCGTAGTGCTATGCAGGATAAAAGATGGTCATTCATAGCAGTTATAATATGTATTGGTTTGTCACTTTGTGATCATGACCCAAACAGTAGTCAAAAAGTGAATGTATTGTTTCAACAGTTACTGTAGACCAAACCTGCGGCAGGAATAGCAAGCAATCCTGAAATCCATGATGATGCGGATTCACTTTCAGAACCGCCCTTCTTATAAATCGTGGACAAAAGAGGCACTTTGCTGCTCAATGAAACACCCGCAGCAGCCCCAACCGCACGTCCTTCTGTAGAAGCGATTATTCATTCATCATCTCAGCGAAACACAAACCATCTAAAACTCAATTCATTTTCACATTTACAATCCATTCCTTACAAGAACCATAACAAAACACACATATTTCCAATCCAAAGCCCACAAATAATAAAATCAGATGTTCGAGCAAATTGTATAAAAAAAAAAGAAACAAAAACAGAAAGCCCAGAACGACGGAGATTTAATTTTAGCGCCACGATATATATGTTAGAGGATACGAAAGGTTTAAATCAAAACGAAGTTAAAGGAAGAAAAATGTTAGAGAATGATAATGAGAAAAAGGGATAGGAGGTAGTTACGAGAGTGAAAACGAGAGGCTTTGGAAGCAGAGAGAAGGGACCTCGCGGCTCTGGAAGCAGATTTGCAAACCTGTGAAGCCATCTTCTTGGCTTCGAGTAGATTGTTCTGATGAGTGACGGAGCAGAGCAAGAAAACGAGAGAATGCGACGGTGGAGAAGAATCAAGGATTATCGCCTCTTTTATTTCTCCTGGCTTTGCAATTTGGTCCTTCATCTTTTGTTTATTTAATTTTTCGGAAGTTTGGTTGGGTGTGTAAATTGGAAACGTGTGGTGCGTGTCTGGGCACGTAATGAGAGTGAGAATTAGGGTTAGGGTTTAGGGTTAATAATTAACAAACTTTACTTCTGCGGTCAAACATTGCCCTAACTGTGGAGTCCACGTGATGCGAATCAGATCCGCTCCAACTTCCTTCCACCATATTTGTGCGGTTCCCGCGTTATAGACTCCTTTACTTTCTCACCTAATATTCACGTACATTTAAAATATTAATTAAAATAACCAATTTCAATTAACAAATATTATCTTTTATTTGGAGCAATTATTTTCATGCCAAATAGAATTAATACAGATGTCAAGCTTTACTTCCACCTAATGTAAAGAATACGAGTATCAAAATCCCTTCTTCAAAATATTTAACATGTCCAAATATTTATGTAACATAAATTTTTTTCTAATATTGACTTTCTTCTTATTGATTAAATTTATTAAATTTTTAGTATATTTTATTTTCTACTGAACGTGTTTTTTATTTTTAATAAAAGTCCAAGAGGTATATTTAAAAAAAATATTTAAATATTTTTTTAAAGTTTATTTATCTAATTTGATTTATTTATTATTCATGTACAAAATTTAATATAAATAAATAAAGTTGTCTGACTTAATATATTTTTTTCTCTTTTATTTTTTCTATCTTAGTGTTTTTTTTTATTCTCTGACTTCATTTTATTCTTCGGCTAAAATAATATATTAAAATTTAATAAAATAAGTCTTTTAGGAGATTGATTTTACCATAGAGACCATAAACTATAAATCTTAACTCAACTTATTAAAAGATAGACTAACGAGTTAATAGACTAATCTCAATACTTTTTTATATAAAATTTATATATATATATATATATATATATTTTAATAATATATATTTAATTATAAGAATAATTTTATTTATTAATTAATATTTTATTAAATAAATTGGAAAAATTAATATATATATATATATATATATATTAAAATAATTAATTATAATTAATAATTTAAATTTAATAAATTAATTTTTATTATTTAAATTATAATATTATAATATATTTACATGTTGTTATTAAGTTAATAATATATAAAAAAATATGTTTTTAATTATAATTTGTTTATATTAATTTTAATATATAAATTTTTTTAAGTGGATTAAAAGATGGACTGGTCCGTCATCTCTAACACGTTTTATTATCTCTAACTTCGATCTAGTAGTTTAATTAAAAGGATAAGTGGGAGAGGAAAAAGAAAAATAAGAGACTTGAACTAGAAAAGAGAAAAATAAGAAACTTGAACTAGAAAAGAGAAAAATAAAAAATAAAAAAATAATGAAAAGAAAAAAATAAAATTACATATAATCAGTAATCCAATATACTTAACAAATAAACTGAGAAAGATTTTATTTAAATAATTTATCTTTTAAGACATATTATTATAAGATTAATTCCCACCAGTATACTCATTATCCCAAAAATTAAATTAAATTTATATTTTATTTAAAAAAATATTATAACCCTTTTAAAATAAATATATATATATATATATATATATATATATATATAAACTTTTTCTTGTTCAGTATTATAATATTTTAACCACTGATGCGACAAAAATTGATAAATAAATAGGATAACATATTACTGAAACTATTATGATTTTAGGTTTACTGTATGTTGTGAATGCCATGATTTCTATTCATTTTGTAATATAAGTAAATATTTATACGAGGTTAAGTATATTTTTAGTAATTGTACTTTGATGTGAAATTGGAAATAGTCACTCTATCAAAGTTCACATAAAAATGATCCCTATATTTTTTAAATGATTGAAATACGTTCCTATTTTAAACGACATTAAATATATGGTGACTTGTTTAATAAAACAAAACTCTTCTTAAAAAAAATAGAGATTATTATTTTTTTAAAAATAAAAAACAAAATAAAAAAGTAGAAGTTTTTTTTCCTCACACACCAAAGCTCTTATCATAACCACTTTTCATTCTCTTTTTTTTCGTCACAATTACTTTTCGTTCTCTTTCCTTTTCTCGTCACACACCAAAAGTCTTTTCTTTCTTCTTCTTTTTCTGTAAAGGTTGTATGAAGTCAAAGTGACTTTGAAGTTCGAGGGTTCCATCGGTTCGTTGTGGTTCGATCTGGCAGTGCGACGGTGGTGCACAACTGGCAGTGTGCGACGGTGGTGCACAACGAGCAGTGTGCGACGGTGGTGCACAACAACAATGTGCGATGGTGGTATACCATAACTAAGATTTTCATTTCTGAAAATTAAGGTAAAGAAGTTTAAATGACTTATAAATGACAGAGAAGTTTAAATTTCTTTTTAAATGACTTTTAAATTACTTTTAAATATTATAAATGCATATTTAAATGACTTTTAAAAGTTTGACACCTTTTAATTTTATTTTTTTAAATAATTACACGTGTCAAATAATGAATGAGTTACACAACTTTTGTTAGAGAGATCAACATATACTTAACATCGTTTAAAATAGAAACCTATTTTAATTATTTAAAAAATATAAGAATTATTTTAATGTGAACTATGATAGATGAACTATTTTCGATTTCAGATAAAAGTATAAAAGTATAGAGAATAAAAACATAATTAATCCTATTTATATGTACTGGACACCCTACAGCAACAACAAAAAGAAATCATATAAATCATTGTTCAAAACGATGATGTGGTAATCATAAGCTTCATGATGAGACACTTGGAATAATTAAAAAAACAAACTAGATTGGCAATCTATCAAATATCCAGCACGAGGCGTAAATGAATGTTTGTTTAGTTTAAAGGGTGAGAAAAGAGGAATACAGGCAAAGAACAATTCTCTTTATAGATTCTTGGAAAATCATTATGAAACTTCCCCTCTTGTCAAATTCTTTACGTGTTACTGTTTGGACAAAAAGAACTAAAACCGTTCCCCTCATGATGGAAGTGCCTTTTTCGGTTGGTGGAGGAGGAGCTGAGACAAGGAAATATATATAATATATGTAGCCAAAAAGAAAGAAAGAAAAGTTCTTAGAGAAGCCTGTAAAAGTATGCTAATTATGGATCAAATGCCTGCGTGGTTAATGAGCCAGAAAAGGGAAGGCACGGATCAATGTAACAACAACTCTTGAGGACTTCACTCGCATGATATACAATGTAACAAACCAAATACAATGAATCCGCCAGCTCTCAAGTCTCAATTGCTATTGCAAAGGAATTTAGCGTGCATTTTACAAAATAACTGCTCACCTTTATTAATGTCTAGCTACTGTCTTAGTTCCCTGAACAGACTTAAGGAGAACGAGCAAGTTCGGATGTGAAACACAAGCCATAAAAGGTGGCACCACCTTCAGATCTGATTTTCACTTTTATTCTTTCTTGGTACTATAAGAGGGCATTAAACATGGCCCAGGCAACTACTCTGCGAGAAAAACGAGATGTGAAGATGCCACATCCACTTGATATACGTCCAAAGTATTCCTATAATGACTTTTGGATAATCCTCTCTAGTTGAGTTAGTTTTGGGGTGAAGTAGACCTTAATTCACTTCATTTCTAAAATAAATTCACCCTAGTCTTGGCATTCACATATTTTTCTTGTTTATTATTTCACTTGACACAAGAATGAAAATCATTGTGTAACCCAACTATCAAGTTTTACCCCATTCTCACTTCTTTATCTCATTTTAATTTTGAAAAATATTGAATCAAAACCAGTCATGGATTTTTTAAGAACGTTTATTCATGGGAATGAAATCATCTAATCTTGTAACAAACACCTCATCACATGGTTCCATCTCAAATCCTTATCTTGTGGTCTCCTATTGGTTACTCTCAAAAATTAGATTAAATGAAATCTGATTTTTATTATTTTTCATACAAAGAGATCATACAAGATATATACATGAGAGCTAAATTATTTTAGAAAATATAATAACTTTATTTTATTCTAGGATCCCTTGAATTATAGGATTATTTCTAATTGTTCAAATATGTACGATTACAAGAAAATATACAAATTTTTAAATTTATTCTTTCCTAAAATACTATTTGATTTCCCACACTCCCCGCAAGCTGGTGAATAGGTATTTTCCATTCCCAACTTGGATACAATCTTCTCAAAATTGTGGCAGTCCAGTCCTTTGGTAAGAATGTCTGCAATTTGGTCTTGAAAGAACACATATGGCGTGCATATCAAGCCACTATCAAGCTTTTCTTTGATGAAGTGTCTGTCTTCTTCAATATGTTTTATTCTATCATGTTTTGTTCTGCATTCCAAGCTTTATGTTTGGTTCTAATGAGGTACTAGTAGGTTTGCAAGCTGTCTTGCCAGTTTCCTTGAGCAAATCAATGATGTATTTCTGCTGGGATATAAATATCCCTTTCTTGGAGTGGGCAACTTCAATTCCCAAAAAATATTTTAGTTTTCCCAAGGTCTTGATCTCAAATTCCTTGCCTAAGCATTGGCTCAACAATTACTGCTCTTCTTTATTATCTTCAGTTAATATTATGTCATCTACATACACCAATAATATTGTTAATCCCCCTGACTTGGAATGTTTAAAGAACAAACTATGGTCCCCTTGGTTTGTTAGTAACCCAGACCTATCATAACTTTAGTAAACCTGTCAAACCATGCAGGGGGGAGGGGGACTGTTTTAGCCCATATAATGTCTTTTTCAACTTGCAAACCGTTTTGCAGTAGGGATGACAATTAAACTCGTACCCGTGGAGACCGACCCATCCCTGCCCAGAGTTTGACGGAGAAAATCCGAGTTGACTCGGGGTGGGGGCGGGTTCGGGCTTTCCCGCTTTAAAAAGTCGGGGTGGGAGTGGGAGTGGGGATGAGTAATGCAATCCCGCCCGACTTTATATTTAAATTTAAATTTTAAAATATTAATACTTTAAAAGTATTTTATTTTCCGTTTCTATTACATATAATGTCATTTTTTTTATATTTCACCATTTTTATTTTTCTTTTACCCACTTTTTAATTTTTAATTTTTTTTAATCTTTTATATCAATTAATTTATTACTTTATTTTCTCTTTTACCTTTCTGTTTTTCACATTTCCTTAATCTCTCCCATCAATTTGTTTTTTTTTAATCTTTTCAACCAATTTGATGAACACAAAGTTAATTTTTTTTTCTTTATCTTTTTCTAAATATTTTACATATATTTTAGTAATAACTAATATTATTTTATTTATAATTTATATTTATTAGGTTTTATTATATCATAATTTTTTATCTTATTATTCTTATTTATCATATATCAAATTTTATCTTAATAAAATATTTATATTTTAAAATATTAAAAGGAATTGATAATTTAAACTTTTATTACTTCGAACTAATTAAATAAGAATTAACTTATTAAATATTTTTTTATAAACTATATATTTCATATTTTTAAATAACAACTTAAAAATGAATTAACTTTTATATATATATATATATATATATATATATATATATATATATATATATATATATATAATCAAATGTTTGAATGCAGTATTATAATAATAATAATAATAATGTTATAAATATTCTATATATATATATATAAATAAAAAATGATTAAATATTTCTTTTACATTAATATTTTAATATAAATATAATAAATTAAAATATATATTTAATTAATATTAATTATAAATTATAAATTATAAAATTATAAAATTATAAATATTTATTTATATATAAAAAATACATAGTAAAATTAATTTATTATAAATGTAATTATTTTTAAGAAAATAATATAAATCGAGGATGAGGCGGGGGTGGAGAACCCGAAACCCAACGGGGACGGGGATGAGGACTTAATTTCTGACTCCGGCGGGAACGAGGATGGTTAAAAAAGTCAGAGGCGAGGATCGGGGAGGCAAAACCCGCCCCCGTCCTGCCCCGTTGCCATGCCTTGGCAGCAATATCTCTACCATATCCCGGAGGTATCTCCATATAAATTTCTTCTTCAAGGTCTCTATGTAGGAAAGAATTCTTAACATCAAATTGTTCCAAGTTCCAACCATAATTGGCAGCAAGGGACAATATCACCCTAATTGTGTTCATTTTGGCAACCAGAGCAAAGGTCTCTAAATAATCAACTTCATAGGTTTGGGTGAACCCTTTAGCAACTAGTCTTGTCTTATATCTCTCAATTAATCCATCAGCCTTGTATTTCACTGTATAGACCCACTTACATCCAATTGACCTTTTTCCTATTGGTAAGGTGATTAACTCCCAGGTGTTGTTCTTCTCCAATGCCTTCATCTCTACATCCATGACTTGCCTCCATTTTCTGTTAGACAATGCCTCAGATAGGGTATTAGGTAGAAGTGCAGTGTTTAGGTTTACTTGGAAGGTTTTATGGGTAGAAGAGAAATTTTTAAAGGACAGGTAATTTGAGAGAGAGTAGAGTGACTGTTTGATGCATTTTCTTGTCCTTTTTCTAATGGCAATTGGGAGGTCATGATCATTTTGAGTTTCAATTTCAACCTCACAGCTAGAGAAAAAATTGTTACCTCTTTTTGTGGAGTCGAGTTGGATTCTTGAACATGGCTTGATCCTGAAATGACCTTAGTCTTCCTTGAGTATACCAGCTTCTTACCAAATTTTTCAGCTTCAACATCTCCTTGATCAGCTTCACAATTAATTTCACTTTCTTGACCAGCTTCCTCTTCTTGACCAATTCCTTGACCAACTTCACTTCCTTGACTTGTTTCACTTGTTACAGCTTCAACTTGATCTCGTTTAGGTTCAAATATCAAGTCTGGAAGAATGGGAAAACCAGAATTACTATTTTCCTTATCTTCCCTGAAACTCTCCCCCTTAAGATAAGGTTGATGGAAATAATTCTCTTGTTCATTGAAGGTAACATCCCTAGACACAAAGAATTTCTTGGATTGGGGGTGGTAGCATTTATACCCTTTCTGAGTGGATGGATAACAAACAAAGACACACTTTAAGGCTCTAAGATCAAGTTTTCCCTATCTGTACTATGAATATGGACACTATGAATATGGACATATGAGATGCACCCAAAAACTCTTGGTTTAAGATTATTTGTAGTGGACAGGGTTTGGATAGAAAGATAACAAAGCTTCCTTACGACTTTTTTATCCTAAGACTCTAGAGGGTAGTTTATTGATAAGGTGAGCGGTAATGATAGCTTCCCCCAAAAATATTTTGGGACACTTTTTTGGAACAACAATGTCCGAGTCTAATTTAATAGATTTTCATTTTTCCTCTCTGCGACCCATTCTGTTGTGGTGTTTTGACACAAGAGGACTCATGAATTATACCATTTTTGACAAAAAGAATTAAGGACATGATTGAAGTAATATTTGACATTATCTAACATAAGCCTCTTAATATTAACATCAAACTGATTTTTTATCAAGGAGTGGAAGTTTAAGAATACATAACTGACTTTAATTTTTATTTAAGTAGGAAAACTCAAGTGACCCTTGTACAATCATCTATAAAGGTGACAAACCATCGAGCACCAGACACATTTAGAAAGTCTTCATACATCACTATGAACAAGATAAAAAGGGAAATTGCTAATTTTATTACTTATTAAAAAAGATATCCGTTTGTGCTTAGCAAGTTCACAGACCTCACAATGAAGATTCTCAACATTTAACTTGGTAAACATAGAGGGAAACATAATTTTGATCACTCCAAAAGAGGGATGTCCCAACCGACAATGATAAAACATGATTTTTTTTCTGTTGGTCATCAAGGATTCAGATATGAAGGAGTAAGAAATTCTATTCTTGCTGGACAGACTTGGATCTTCAAGACAATAAAGGTCATTCCATTCTTTAGCATGTTCAATCATCCTCCCTGAATTCTTGTCCTGAAATACACAATGATCTTTGAAAAAACAACTTTACATGACAAATCCTTTATAAGTTTTTGTATAGAAACTAGGTTGGTGGACAACTTTGGGACATAAAGAGCATCTTTTAAGGTTATTAAATGATTGATTTGGATATTTTCTTGACCAATTGTAGTTATAAGGGTTCCATATGTTGTGACAATTTTCTTGTTACTGGGACATGAGGAATATGTGGAGAAGTGTTTGGCTAATGGTGTCATGTGGTCTGTGGCTCTAGAGTCCAATATCCAATAATGGTTAAAAAGTGTATTTAAGACATTTAATCCAAAAGAAAGTTGAAACTTAACTGAGTATGTCAAAGAACACGTACCTGTAGGTTTTTCCAGCTTACTAAGAAAGGTTCTCACATTTTCTATCTCCTCTTGGTTAAGATGGACAACAACTTCTGGATTATTTCCTTCATTTGTTTTAACAGCAACATAAACTTGTCTTCCTTTCCTTGAGGGGTCTCTTCTGTGTCCCCTTTCTCGGTCTTGATTTAAAGGCTTCCCATGTAACTTTCAACACTTCTCTCGGGTACGACGAGACTTATTGTAGTAGGTATATTAGAGACCATCACCTTTCTTTTGTTCGGCTACCATGGCCAAAGTCTGATCTTCTTTATGGTCAGCCACCATTGCTAAGTTCTCTACTATTGGACTCTCTAACATGAAACCTCTTAACATTATGCAAGAAGGTGCGATGCAGTATCAATGCAGGCTGTCGTCTTAGGGTTTATAGTGCGCAGACAGAACTTCTTAGATCGAAAGTTCTGATACCATCTGAAAAATTAGATTAAATAAATTTTAATTTTTATTATTTTTCATACAAAGAAATCATACAAGATATATATAGAAGATCTAAGCTATCTTAGGAAATATACTTAATTTATGAAATTGTTCCTAATTATTCAAATAGGTATAAATTACAAAGAGATATACAAATTTCCTAATTTATTTTCTTTAAATACTATTTGATTTCTCAGCGTTCCTTGTTGGATGGTGTTTCCAAATTGTACTAATTGCTAATGGCTATGGCAACAAAAAGGGTGCTACGGCATCGCAGATATCAACGGATGAGGTCTACAAACCCTCTGAATGATGGCAAAATGCCTCCTATCTGCCCTTCCTGTTCCAACAGTTACAAGAGCTTTGTAAATTGCCGTGCCCTTTTAATGATATTCAAGGCCTCCACTAGTTTCTCAGCCATCAACCATGCTTACACCAAAGTTATATTCCTACAATATAATTTATATCTTATCAGAATCTCCCTACGAAGATAATGAGTTGGACACTAAAACTCATAATGCTTCCCATGAACAAAAGAGACCGCGAAAGTAAAACCACCACCCTTCATGCAGAGTTTTTTTTTTTTTTTTAACCTCAAGGTGCCGCAATACTCATTCAGGTGTAAGTATTCAATTTTATGCTTCTCTTTATATAGATGTCCTAACTCTAGTTTACACACATATAGAAATGTTATTAAAATTGCATGATGTAAACCTAATGGATAGTTAAAGTCCTGGTTTGAGCCAAAAGAGACAAATAAATCATTAGTTTGTTTATTAAGTTACTGAAAAAATTTCCAGATATCAGTGTCATATTTACAAAGTAACCTACATGTACAAAGCCACTTAACCTTGCCAAACAAGGTGTAACTATATTAGATCTCAGTTGAACAATTGGGAATTGAAGTATCAGATTCCAGTTTGCAGTCAGCTTTACAAAATGTATCAGATTCCAATTTGCATTCGCTTTGTAAAGCAGATAACCAAGAGTCCACCTGAAAGAAGAAAATTGGAAATACATCATTGACACGGTGACATGTCATTGGAAACAGACTGTCTTTAGATGTTGATCAAAATTATACCAAGGATGAAAATTGCTTAAAATCTATTCACGCTGTAAAACTGAAATACAATAATATAACCGCTACCAAGAATCAAACTATCTTAACGTGGACACACCTGTATCTTAGAATTGCTTGAGCATTCATATCGCAATCCATGACGAGTTAAAATATAAAAGGCAAAATGAATTTCATCATCTTCTTGCTTAAAACATGGTAAACTCCCTACTTCAATAATATCAGATAGAAGGGTCGAGTCCTGGGGGCTTAGATCTGCAATTTTTCCCTTTCATCAGAAAGCATGAATTGATGCATTGTAAATGAAAGTCATCAAAAAGCTTGAGGATAATAAATATGTTTGATTGAGCTAACCATGTGCAATTGTTCCCTGCTACTCCTATTACTCTATTTAAATTAGGGTGCGCTTGTCCTTCCTTTGACATAAAAGGGATTTTAAAAATACTGATAAAGAGAATTGCTTAAACTCCTAATAGCCAAAGCTTTTTGAGAGTTGATTCTTGACAGGTCTTTAACAATATGGTGATGAAGCCTCAATATGAGCTTATGATTTGAAAGAAAAAATGTCAATCACAAACTTAAAGCAAGTAGTGGAAGAGGTACTACCCAATGGAGAGAATGAATGTAACTGAGAAATTTATTATAAAAAATATTGAAAAGGAATTCCACATAAATCTGATGATTAAGAGGTTTCCAATCCTTTCAATTCTCATCCACCCACATTGGGAAAAGCACAACTGTAATTTATCTGCAGAAAAAAATTGTTAAGCCTGGTAAATTTTGATGTTCTGATTAATTATATCATGAATTTAACTGAAAAATGATAAAAAAGCTCATATTTGGTTAGATAAAATAATTTGAGGGAATGTTTGGTGTGGATGGAATGAAAAAATGACTCTATTCCCCTTATATGTTTTGTATGTGATTGATTAAGGAAATACCAAAAAAGTAATTAATGATTTTTAAGGTTTAAATAAGCTTGTCTTGGCCGCTTGGCCAATTTGAACCAAATAAATGTTTGGGTTATCCCGTTAAATTTCTGCCTTATATATATGTCAGCAAATTCATGTGACTTATATCAAGTACAATGACAAATAAAATGAAAAATAGAAAATTATCTTTATCAATAGATTCTATATCCTACCGCTGGATTCATTTTCATGCATTCTAACACTAGCATGAATATTTTTCAAAAACCAAACAAGAATATTCAGAAAGAATACAACTTCAGCAAATGAATTGACATGTCTGTATATAGTAGAAAAATAAAGAGATGTGGGAGAAGAATATGAAAGAAAGAGAAGATATTTACTGCTTAGATTTAACTACATTAAAATTAAAGCAAAGCAGTTCTAAAAAATGTGAACTAAAACTAGTAGGAAGGAACAAGACTTACTGCATTACCTGTACACAATAAATATAAAAATATACATGGTCCGTGGAGAACGACAAAACGAGAAAGCCGATCATCTACTTCAGTATCATCTATAGGTGGAGGTTCTCCAGGCAGTGATGCCCATCTCTTTAAAAAAAGAGCAAACGCAAATGAGTTCAGGTTGTTATATGAAATAAATATCGAAGCTCAAACTAATGAAAAATAAACTGGTGTAGTGTAGGGCATGCAGTTAGTACAGTTCGAATGTATAAATATCCAGATAGACGTGCAGACCGCAAAACTTCATCAATATGCTCCAACCTGGGTTAATTATTAAACAAAATTATTGTGATAAATCATTATATAAGGAAAGCACAGCACATCAGCTCTCCTAAACCAAACGAGAATTCCCCACAGAAAGGGGAGGGTTAGGTAGATATATATTAAACAAGTTAATTTCTCTAATATCTCAATGCAGCAATTTCAAATGCAAAAAGTAGCTGTCTCTAACACACCAGGAAGAATTACTTGTAAGGAGTGAAATGGATAACAATGAAAGTAAAAGGATGTCCTAATTTCATTCTTAATACTCCCAAAGTCACACATATCCAGACTTCAATACTTATGTTTGCATCTACACTCTGCTGTGTCACTTCTATCAATGAGGTACAACTGGAGGGAACAAGAATTGTGACCTAAAGAATCCTGCTAATTACTGAACAATTACAATACATTATGACAACAAACCAAAATATTATAAGGTTGAGGATCACATCACTCACTGAGCTTTCAAGTGAGCTTCCCTCTCCTCTATATCAGCAAGCTCTGATCGAAGTGATTCTACTTCTGCAGCTGTTAGCTCAACCTACAGAATATAAATTTTAGTCGGTAGGATATAACAGAACATTGACTGATGACAAAATATGCACCGCATAAAAGCTTCTCAAATCACACCTTTTCCTGACCTCCAGAACTGGAACCCCATGACAGTCGCCGAGGAGAAAACAAGTTCAACATGAAAGCTGTCCTTAATTTCCCCCAAGTCCGTTGTTGGTGTGAGGACCTAAACTAAGCTAGATTGAGTGACTTGTTTCAAATAAATTGAAAGTCTCTTAATAACTGTTTTATTAATGCTTTCTTCTATTCATTTTTAACCAGGAAACAATAATACCTTGAAGATTGATCAGTTCCAGGTTCTGTAATAGATGTTCTGCTCTCGGGAGATTCTAAACTTGATGTTGGAACTTGAAAATGATCAGGGATGATTTTCAGTTTCGGAGGACCATCATCCATGAAATTTACTTTCTACAAGAAGAAAGGAAAGACAATCCTATTTTGAAGATCACAGCAATGATAAGGGTGAAGGAGGGTTTATCCTGAAACAGTAACAACACCAAGATGTTAATAGACACAATTGGCATGACTTCCTAAACTGATCCACAAGCTGCTAACCAGTTTTGCAGTTTTGCCCAGTAAGCAGCGAAGGTCATTCCAGCAAATAATAGGAATATGACCTAGGTGCCAGCCCTGACATGTACAATAACAAAAGTTCATTGACACACATTCACACGCACAGGTAACATCCATATCCAATCTTTACCCCCTAAACATTCTTGACTAACACCGGCTAACAAGAATACAATATAAGCAAATTGCTAGCCAGCCAAAACAAGCAGTCCAAAATACTTTGGGTTAAACTACATGGTGTGGAATATAAAATCCATGTATCATGTGGTGTCAGCCTCTTGTAGACATCGGATAATGACTGATGTAAGAGGTCGGGATATGAATTAGGGATTCGGTAATTGACCAATTACCTTTGGGGATTGGCAACAGAACGACTTCTATTGTGGATTGGTAGTGTAGACTTCAAAACATGAAACTTGAACACCAAGACGTTGAGATCAAGAATCATGGACGAACCTCAACTACTCTCAATGTGCTTTTATATTATCGTGAAGTCATGACTATAAGAGTAAACTTAAGAATCAAGGACCTTGATGGTTAGTGCATCAACACATTAACCACTATGGTTAAGGGGACGTGGAAATCAACTGAAGAGTCTATAAATAGACTCCAAGATCGCAAATCATGGGCACTGAATCCTCAATGAATGCTCATCTAAATAGTGCGAGGAAAAGACTTCACCTGCTCAAACGCTCCACGTCATCAACAAAAGTCCTCGTCAACTTTCATCCAGTAACGCAACTTAGTCGGAAATAGTTTCTTAGTAGCCACAAGATACGGAAACAGAAACGTCTGAAAGCAAAGAACAATAATAATAAACCTGAAACCAATAATCAAGCAGAAATTCACAACAACTAAACTAGATCAACACATCCTGCTGATATACCAACCCTAATACTCCAGACAGAGCGAAGATCTAAAGAAAAACTCATCTTTAGAGGCAAAAGATATAAAGATACCGAAAGCAATAAACTCTTAAGATAAAATAAAAGAATGGGTAAAAAAATAGAACATGTGGCACGACAGCTACAACTTACAAGTTATAAGTGCCACCAAATGAATGATTAGAAGACGACACATTATTAAAGCGAAATTTTTAATGAATAGAGAAACGAGGGAAAGAGTTGAATAGTATAATATTACCTGAGAAGGGTTTAGAATCGAAGGGTTGTTGATGATGGAACCTAAAACACAAACAGAAAGCGGCTCGAAACCCGCGGGGGTTTGTTTTGTACAACGGTTCGGTTTGATTTTGCGGATACCGTGAAAAGACACTTTTGTCCACCCCTTTTCCCCACCCGCAATCCATCGTGTCATTGACATCTGGGCTGGATACGAAATTTTGTTTTCTCCAAGTAAAAACAAACCCTTTTAAAAAAAAAAATTGAAATTAAAAAGAGTTAAACTAATATTTTTATGATTAAATAATAATATAATATTTTTAAAATATTACCTCCTTTACCAAATATAATATTTTTAATTCACTGATTTTTTTTTAACTTATTAATCATACTATAACATTATTAAATCCATTAACCATTTATATTATTTTTTAAATTACGATCCATATTCATCATCTTATTCTGTTCACTTTTTTATTATTCATTTTTGTCATTTAGTGAGGAAGTTTCCTTCGTAGATTCTCCCTTTTATATTATTTTCCCTCTAAGTTTTTGAGACCCATAAGTCTTAAAGTGTGTCTCACATTTAAAGTTACTATTTATTATTTTAATATTTTTGTTTTTCTATATAAGGCTTTTTAAAACCCTTATACTGGGAAGAAGCATTACCCCATAGAGTTTTCCTCTTCCTCTCCTCCTCCTCTCCTCCTTCCCATTCCTCCACTCTTATGTAATTTATACTATATCAATAAGATAAGCATATTCAATATCCCCTCTCTTTCTGCTTCCCTTCTCTCTTGAGTAAGTTTTCTTTACTCTTTCATGGAGTAGTTTTCTTATAAGGGCGTCATCAGATGCCTTAAGTGTTATTTATTAAAAGATGCGATAATCATTTAAAGGCTTAAATATTTTGTACAACTTTATTTTATGTTCATATAAGCTTATGAGGAGATGTCTAACCGGCTTTGCCAGATTCAGTCATCTCATAATCTTATCATGGACTTGTGTGTTTTTTTTCCTGTCTTTATTTTCCTGTCTTTAATTTCATTCATGCCTAAGCTTATGAAGAGATGTCTAACCGGCTCTGCCAGATTCAGTCATCTCATAATCTTATAGTAAACATTTTTTTGCTATAACCGACTTTATCTCGGACAATCTTCATTTAAGTTAGCCTGATTTCAGGTTCTCTATGAGCTAAGTAGTCACATTGACCTACAGAAGAGATAAAGAGTTATAACATGTTTTAATTTATTTATTTTTCTGTTACTTTCCTCCTTTCCCCCTCCTCTTCGGTCTTAGAGCAGTCTATTCTAGGTTCATCCCCAATTTCTCTGTTCTGTCTCCTCTTGGTATCTGAGCAGTGTTTTTTTCATACTGGGTTTTCCTGCTCTCTTTGTTCTTGCTCTGATACCAAGAACAGAGAGAACAAGAAAACCTAGTATAGGAAAAACATTGCTCAAATACCAAGAGGAGACAAAACAGTGAAACTGGGATGAACCCAGAATAAACTGCTATGAGACCGAAGAGTTTAGAACAGAGAGAACAAGAAAACCCAGTATGGGAAAAACACTGCTCAGATACCAAGAGGAGACAGAACAGAGAAACTGGGGATGAACCCAGAATAAACTGCTCTGAGACCGAAGAGGAGGGGGAAAGGAGGAAAGTAACGGAAAAATAAATAAATTAAAATATGTTATAACTCTTTATCTCTTCTGTAGGTCAACGTGGCTACTTAGCTCACAGAGAACCTAAAACCAGGCTAACTTAAATGAAGACTGTCCGATATAAAGTCGGTTATAGCAAGAAAGTGTTCACTATAAGATTATGAGATGACTGAATCTGGCAGAGCTGGTTAGACATCTCCTCATAAGCTTACGCATGAACGAAATTAAAGACAGAAAAGTAAAGACAGGAAAATAAACACACAAACACACAAGTTCATGATAAGATTATGAGATGACTGAGTCTGGCAGAGCTGGTTAGACACCTCCTCATAAGCTTATATGAACATAAAATAAAGTTGTACAAAATATTTAAGCCTTTAAATGATTATCGCATCTTTTAATAAATAACGCTTAAGACATCCAAAGACGCCCTTATAAGAAAACTACTCCATAAAAGGGGAGTAAAGAAAACTTACTCGAGAAAGAAGGGAAGCATAAAGAGAGGGGGGATACTGAATATGCTTCTCTTATTGATATAGTAGAAATTACATAAGAGTGAGGGAAGGAGAAGGAGGAGAGGGAGAGGGAAGCTCTATGGGGTAATGCTTCTGCCCAGCATAAAGGTCTTAAGAACCTTATATAGAAAAATAAAAATATTAAAATAATAAATAGTAACTTTACATGTGGGACCCACTTTAAGACTTATGGGTCTCAAAAACTTAGAGGGGAAGTAATGTAAAAGGGAGAATCTACAGAGGAAACTTCCTCACTAAAGGACAAGAATGAATAGTAACAATAATATTTTTTTTTACATTTATCAAAAGACTGATTCAATCTTTCCGTTATTAACATGCAAGGCTTAATGGGCCTAACAACATGTAACGGAAGAGGAATCGTGACAAGGTAGCAAGATATCATTATCTGCCATTAGCCTTTGTCGTCTTTTGATACAACTGTATGATGTAAGGGCTTATGTCATGAGAAGATCCTCGAAATCTTCAAGGGCAAAATAGTCTTTGAATGACTAATGACGTAAGGGGTTACGCCATTAGGAGTTCCTCGAAATCTTCAAGGGTAAAGTCGTCTTTATTTGAAAGACTCATTGGTTATGGAGAGGTGAGATTTGTACAATTCCGCTATTTGAAGTCTTAAGAATATCTTCTGGAAGCTGATACAGAAGATATGTCTTCAAGTCCTTCTTCGACCATCTGATAAGTGAAGTTTAATTCTTCATCATCAGAGGGAAATGAAGCTCCGGGGGTTCCTTGTCCATGAATTTCGGTTTCTTCATAAATTTTTTTGAGAATCCTTTCTCTTTTAAAGTGTTCCACCAGAATTGGACTGACTTCAATTGGGAAGGGATGAAACTTGTTTCCCATAAGTTGTTTCCAATAGAGCTTGGTATCAGCAGTTTCTTTGAGAAGAATAAAATCTGAAATATCATTTTTAGAGAAATTCCAGTTAGATCCTTCTACATAAGTCTTCCAAAGCTGATATTGGTAAAGCTTATCTTTGTTGAGAGTAAGTCCCTTAAAAGGATCTTGCTCTATTGAGGTACGTATCTCAGGATTTACCTCTGTATATAACTTAACATGTTTTGTCACGCTGTCAAGGGAAGTGAGACTTCTTGGGGAAGAAGTAATGTGTAAGAGCACACTCATCATATGCTCAACTTGTATCTCATTTACCACAAAGTTTATTTCTAGGGTTAATGAGTGAAACCTTTCTGTAGGAGGGATGGAAATATCTTGGAGACATCCGGCTTCTAACAGAAGTTGAGGGCTTATCAGAAGCTCTCGGTATAATTGGTTTTTGAAGGTGGACAAATCAATTTGCGCCCTTCGGATGACAAACTTTAACTGGCATGTACAATTTGTGGATACTATTTTGCAGTATTCTGAGGATCCTAAGCAAGGGTTCCTCGTGTTAAAGTAAATCAGTATTTTGACTATAAGCTCATTGGGATTTTGGGCTCCAGAGTGAACTTCAAACAAAAATTCTTGTATTAGACCAAACTTGGTTAAAAAGATGTTTAGGTTAACCTGGGTAGGAAGACAACATGCTCCTGCATAGGTTTGTGTTTGGGCCTTTAGTTAAAGTAAAATGGCCGTTTTTATTTTATCTTCATTTATGGTTTTCAATTTCAAAGTCATCTGGGCTTCTTCTTTGGAATAAAAACCTTTGTAATTAGACCAAAATTGGTCTTGTTTGGCCTCAGAGAGATCTTTATAGGAAGTATGAACTCCCTTGTTTGGCCCCGTAATTAGGGCATAATGTGTATACTCCTTACCAGAAGGAGATGTTGTGGAAGTCAACCTAACTTCCTTGTTATCTGCATTGCAAAAACTGTATAATGCGTTAATAATGCTTTGCTTCATTTTAGCGACTTGTTGCTCATTCTGAGCTATGTGTTTTGGAATATTCCAAATATTGTCAATTAAAACATTTAATTTGACATTTGTAGATTCTCTACCAGGAAACTGGTAGGAATTTGTAAGTGTGGATAACTCTTATTTCCCATATTTCATGTATTTCTCCACCATAAATGGGGATTTTGTGGGTTTAGGACCTAAAGGCCCTTTCCCTTTGTGTGTGGAATCCATCATTGGATTTCTTGTCCCTGAAAAAAAAAACATTAGTAAAAAAGTTATATTAACTTGTAG